AATCGGATAAAAATCGGGTGCTCAATCTCCGTGCAGTTGCGCACACCCCCGTGCGGCTTTACTGCTGATTAACACACGTTGTTCGTGCAGCTCTTGCGCTTTTCTGAGCATCCACGTGCACGTGGTCGTAATGAGACATAAAACTTCAAGTGAAATTTATTAATTGTTAACATTTTTACTGCGAGTGTTCATATGCCTCCTAAAACCATCAAATCCGTAGCAATTCTGACAACTCCGTGTCGCAAGATAATCTTGCTTTGCTGCGTGATCCGTGTCAGTACTGGAATTGGGCAATGTCATTCATGATATTGTTACTAGCTTTCGATTAAAAAAATTCTTAAGTGCTGTAGCACACGATAATCAACAAATAACTACGGGCTACCCCACGTGACTGTAAATATGAATTTTGTTTTAGGCAACTAGCGACCATTCTTGACGTGTTCAGCGTCTGTGATGGGTTGTCAACGTTATACGAGCTGCTCTGTGTTGGCACTGCTTGGTGTCGCGAACAGATGCCTCACTCCCTTAAACGGTTTCTGATAGTTCGTTCATTCATGGCAGTGTGAGTGGTCCTTCTGGGGTTCTTTGTAACCCTCCACTAGGGCGGCAGGGGGTCTAGGGCGGCAGGCCCCCCCCCCCCCTCCCCCCCCCCCACACACACACTTGGCGTGGGGTTCGGGGCCCGCTGAAGGGCCCCGATAAAATTAGTATTTTAGAGGGCGAACGGTGCCATTTGGTACGGTTAAGAACTATGATTCAGGTACTCAAAATTCTAATTTCAAGAGGGGACCAGAAATCAAAGGGGGGGTCAGGAGCCCCCTGAGCCCCCCTCCCTCTAAATACGCCACTGATTATTACTATCATTATTATTATTGTTGTTTTACTTATTTATATGCAATTGCTTTAAAGTAATAACATGGGTTAAATCATATATTAAAACATTTATTATCGAATGCGCAGAATATTCCAGATAATAAATTATATGTAAAATAACACTATCTGCCGGCATAGGGGTTTATTATTCATATCGAAATAAAGCAGTTTTCGTTGTTTATTATCAATATTTGACATAAAAGCGTCATGTTTAAAATATTTAATTTCCTTTTTCAGAGAAAAGTGGCCGAAAGTTGAAAAAGTACTGATGATAATAATAATGAGATAAAAAGATGCCCGATAGTTTCGTTTACCCAGAACATATTTCAATAACTAATACAATGTAGATGACTTGTCCTGTAAATATTCAATAAAAAGACACAGCATTTCGAATGGTACTGGTAGAAAGGATAAGATACAATAAAAAAAATAAACGGGATCAGAATCAATCTACTTTGTGCATTTCGGGTCAATAGTTTGCTAACATTGCCTTGAAGAGTGTAAAGATAAGTAAGTCACAGCTTTAAAAAAACACCCTTTAAACAAATGCCGCCCATAACAGAATGAAACGACGCTGTTTCGCACCTTTCTGGCCCTGATAACTGCAATATTTTGACAATTGGCCTCCCGGTCTTACCCTAACACTTGGTGGGTCGAAAATCTTGCTCATACTTTACATATCACATCTATTGATTCAAAAATACATTTCTAAAATCACCAGAAAAATATATATTACGTGTATAAAACATTTTCCCTTTGAGGTAAGTAAATAGTTATAAAGGGAGAGTAATTAATTTCATTAGACAATCAAAGCATATGAATACAGCATAACACGCCTATGCTATACTTCATTAAAAAAACGGATCACAGGTTCAATAAAATCAAAAATAGATTTAAATGTAATTCCCAATGTAATTAAATAATGCATGACGTTTCTAACAAGACAAAAATGAATTTAAACAGAATAACATCAGAGATATCCATTCCACTAAAAAGACTAATAACAGAGAAGCGAAATTCGATCAAATCATAAAAAAGATATGACATTACATCAATAATAATATATGTTTCCCATAACAAATAAAACTTTGAGCCCTTCTCAATGAAAGAGAGTTACATAATGAGAATAATAAATGCATAAAAAGGAATATATAGATAAAAAAAATTAGCGTGGACGCTCTTTTGAAATAATGCCCTTTTTATGTAATCTTTTAAAAATATTTTTGCACAAATTTATATCCCCGATATATCACCAAGCCGCAGTCGACGATCTTCTGTGTGATCGGTCAGATCTGTCAGTTCCTCCACGCGAATACCCTCCCCATGTTGCCTCTGTACTAGTCCTGGGTCTCCGGGGGGTTGGAAGCTGTGGTTGTAACAGCCTCTGTGCGCTATGGCCTGTAGCATTCCAAGCAGTTTCTTCTGCTTCGGGTTTCACACGTGGGACGGGGCGGGGCGTTCGCTGATTTTTTCCGTATCGGTGTAGTAAATTTGACATTCGTCCCCCTTTGTCTAGTGCCGCATTTTCTTCAGCTTCTGGTTTCACGCGCGGTGGTGCCCGTGCAGACAGGGGGAGCCTCCCGTAACTGTGCAGCAAATTTGACATTCCTTTTCCTTTGTGGTTTTCAGCCGTCTCTTCAGCTTCGGGTTTAACTCTAGGTGGAGATCTTGCCGACAGAGGGAGCTTTCCGTATTTATGCATCAGATTTGACATATTCCCTCCCTTGTGATGCTCGGCAATGTCGTGCGCTTCAGGCTTTACCCTGGGGATAGGCGTATGCTCCCTGGGGCCAGAACTTGGAAAATTGGCCGATTTCCCCAAAAGATCCCCCACGTGCCCCGTCTCGTGGTCTTGTCGGAGCATTTTGGATTCCGGCGACGGGCAGCGCCCTGGGGGTCGTGGTGAGTTATAACTTTTATTGGCCTTCTGATCGAACCACGCCCCCACCGTCCCCAGGTGCTTTTTGTAAGACTCTGAGGCTTCTGGTTTGACCCTGGGGGCAGGGCGTGGCGAGCTGTAATTTTTCATAGAGGGGTCCCTGGTGTGGTGGGCCGGGATTGGACCCTTGGTCAGCGTGGTGGTCATTTTATTGGCGTGACCTTTCACTCACTTTGCTGACCTACGACCCTCTTACTTGTTACACATGTTGGGTATATGCATGATGATGCTGAAAAAGAAACAAGAAGTATGACATTCACTATCATTCTTGTCACAGCGGCATACAGTGTACATTATTCACAAGTTACGCTGTAAACTCAGTCCTGTAGCCAGCAATTTCAAAGGGGTTCAACCCCCCTCCGTCTACCTATGTCCCTCTAGAATTTCAACTCTTTTTTTTTTCCTTGTTGAAAACAGACCCTGCCATTATGGATTTAATCAAATCACTAAACGGTATTTAATTAAACACAGTTCCAGTAGGTGTTCTGGACGAACAAATATTAGCGCTATGATTAGGTTTAAAACCACCCCGTCAAGCCATTTACAGATTTAGGACTTAACCGTATAGTAGGTGCTAAAAACTGAGTCCCAGTCCGTCAACCTTCACAAGTAGAATTTGGTTAACAGCTAGGACCTAGTTACTGAGTTTCCAGAAACTCGGGGTAGAATTTCTGTTAGAATGATGATCCTTAGCACAATCAATCAGCCAATCAGTCAGACAGCCAGCCAATCAACCAGCCAGCCAACCAACCAACCAATCAATTAAAACCAACCAATCAATCAATCACTCATATCGACCATGTTCGACCAGACCTATAGATAGTGTACATGTACTAGCATCAACTGGTGCCAATATGGATACACTGAGTATCTCTATATAATCTTTCATTTTATGCTGCATCGTTGTCGAGGTATAGACCTACAGCTATAGAACATATACTACAGTAGGTTGCTCCATACTCTCTGTAACAATGTTTTTAGTGTCCAAAATTTAATACTAAGAAATAGTATTACAGTAGATGATTAACAAATGCTGTACAACTTACTGTACATATACATGTACAGTGCTATTGAGGGTACTTGTTTAGGTCCACTAAATGCATGTGATGAAATCACTCATTTACATATTATGTTTATATAATCAGTCATTATTAGCATTCACTTTGCTTCAGTCTTGCATGAATATTTATCATTCTCTTTATAACTAAGAAAGCCTGGGGCAAATGCATATCTGATAAGTAGAAACTACTGCATTGCAATTAGTATTTAAATCAATTGCTGCCACTGTGGCATTCAGATACATGTAGATTCCCCGTAGATATTGTGTAAAAATGCTGAATGCTTGGACCTAATAAAAGGACTTAAAAGTTGGAACTGAAGATGTGAGTTTGTGGTTATATTCCCTCTCCCATGCATCAGTGACAAGCAAAATATTAGTAGAACCTGGGTACGGAGGAACATGGACCCCTACATACTACATACTAGTACTGGTATGTAATAGGCCTACAGCCGACAATAATAGTTTTCGGTTAAAAAAATGAATGCATTAACGCCACGTCGAATATATGTTATATAATGTTCTAGTAAACTCAAGTGGCCGTTGTTTATATTACTTACGTCATTTTTAGTAGTGGTTTGGGGCAATAATGATGTCACTGCGCACCTGCAGGCTGTTAATTTCAATGTTGAGGAGCGTACATTACATCTCCAAATTATTTTAATATTTTCACAAATACACAGTACTCAGAATTCATAGAAAGAAAAGTCGGATTACCGTTTCCGTGGATGTAACTATGCCAATGGTTATAGACATTCAAGTCCACGGTTTCAAGTCAAATTATGCATTGGATTCAACCCACCTGTTAGGAGGCGTCGCCACCGGAAGCACGCTGTAACTAGGTTAGCGTACAAAGTCAAGTTACTATAAGTAAAATAGTTTCGCTAAAATGACATTATAAAACATGTAGTTTACTGAACTTACAGAGGAGACTTTGCAATGAAATTTTAATTTTAGTCATATTAAAAATATTTTTCACATCATGGAGCTATATTATAAAATGTTACATATATATATTTTATTCAAAACTATACTCTGTAAGAGAGAAAGTGAAACCAGTCAAGGGGGCGAAAGCGACTGGAACGTGACTGCTGTGCAAACTCTGCAAAGTTGGCATGCTTTTATCTGATTGCATACTTTAATTATATATTTTAATAACACGTTAAACTCTTTTGTGATACGGTACCGGTCTGCACGAGGTTGAAAAATACGTGTAGTCTAAAGACAAATAAAACAAATGGCCGCCACATCCAGGGGCGCGGCTGAAGATGACGACAGCCTAAGAGCGGTGATAACAGAGCACTTTGTGAATTGCCCTATTTGTTTTAAGGAATATGACGAGCCGACATCGTTGCCATGTCTTCACTCTTACTGCAAGGGCTGTCTGAAGACGCACGTTGGTGATTTGACCCCAGGGAGAACGTTCTCATGTCCAGTATGCCAACGGGAGACGCGGGTCCCAACAGAAGGACTTGAGGGATTCTCTCATAATTTTTATATTGAAAGCCTACAGGACACCTTGCTGCAGCCCCCAAGGAAGAGAACTTGTGGTGCGTGTGCCTTAGCTACAGAGGCTGTCGTGGATGCGACGTCCAAATGCATCAGTTGCCATGAGTATCTGTGTGAGCAATGTGCCCCGTACCATTGCAGGACCAAGTTCACGAAAGATCATAAAATTTTCACGCTTGAACAGTTGCGAAGTAAAGAATACAAGGCAGAGATCCAAGAACTGCAGATTTTCTTATGTCCAGACCACAAAGATGAAGCCATTAAGTACTTCTGCAAAAAGTGTCAACGACCAATCTGCCGTGACTGCAAGATTTTGATTCATGACGATCACAAGTGCATTTCTCTTGATGCAGCTGCTGAAACGGTGACACAAACCCTGCAAACTAAACTTGACCATCTCGAAAAGAAGTTCATAGAGGAAGATGAGTTGTTGTTGGCTCTCGAGAAGAACACCATTGATGTCGAGGCAAATATTAAACAACGGACAGTACATCTTCACAGTTTGGTTGACCAGCAAGAAAAAGTTCTCATGGAAAAGGTACATGCACAGAAAAAGTCCTTAGATATTAGCCTAGAACACCACAAAACAAGTAAAGGTACCGTAGACTTGGTGAAAGGTGTTCTTGGCCATGCTTCGCCAGGGGAGCTTCTAATGATGCAACAGCAACTGCGTGACCAGATGGACAACCTTCAGGCCAGTTCCAGCTCCAAAAAGATCCCACCACTGCTCTCTTTACAGCTACAGGAAGGGGTCAAGGAAGACCTATCCAGCGGAAAGTGGTTTGGCAAAATTGTGGAGGTCCAAAATTTGGAATTGAGAACCACAGAAGAAAAGAAAATTGACAACTTGTCTATGTTAGCATCTCAGAATGTGGTACAAGGTTCTCACGAAATGAAGCAAATGTTGGAAAAACCAAGCTGTGGTAAAGAAAAGGAAGTTAGGACCCAGAAAATGAGACCTCCTGCAAAGTGTATTCAGGAGTTCCACACCAAGTGCAAGTACCCTGGTGCCATTGTGGTTACAGGAGACAGAAAGTATGCCATTGCAGACTTTGATTACCATTCATGGTTTGTGTTTACCTTCAAACAGGAGAATTTGAAGAAGAAATCATTGAAGCAGAAAAAGACAGTGAGCTTGAGACAGTACAAGGTCTCTGTCACCTCCCCAGTGGTAGAACTGTCATATCAGATTACTGGAATGACAGTATATTTGTTATGTCAAAGCTTTGGAACCCTGTGACAGTTAAATATGTGGATGGACCATGCGGCATTGCTGTCAATAGTAAGAATCATATTGCTGTTGCACAGTTTCACAAAAAATGTATCACTGTGTTCAGAATTGACCCAGATGGGAAAATGACTAAAACTGGTGTTATAAATCCTGAAGATTTCCCGGGTCCATCATGCATAGCATACACAAATAAAGATTTACTTGTTGTAGGGCATGTCAGACATGGCAGGGTTGACATCTTGAATCCGTCAGATGACAACTTAGAAATTTGTCATTATAAAGGTCCAGATAACAACCTGAATTTGCCTCAGAGCATTTGTGTGGATAAATATGACAACATATACATAGCAGATAGGGTAACAATAGGTGCACGTATCCACATTATATCTCCAGAGGCGAAGCTTATTCAGTACTTTGAAACTAAAGCACTTAGTGTTAGTTTCAGGTCACCATGGGGGTTGGCAATCAACCAAAATGGGGACTTGGTTGTGGGGTTTTATGGAGGGAAAGTGAAGGTTTTCAGCAGTAGAAATTTAACATAGTGAGTTGAGTTTATGAAATACAATATTGAAAACTGTACAGCAAAAAAGAAGAAACAATACGTACAGCCAAAATGGGTAAATGCATTTTTGCGATATGTCTGCATTCAATACTTGTTACATTTGCAAAACTTTTTCTGAAGTATATAAAGTATATAAGGTTTTTAAAGGACAATTTTTTAAAAAATCTGTATTTTTTTAATTTATAGGATAATCACATCAAATTGCCAGAGGTGATACATGTACCATGTCATAACAACCTATGGAGTTTCATCCAAAGGATTTTTTTTTTTTTTTTTTTTGTCAAAAATCAGTTTCAAAGTTTTGAACTTTACATTGGAAAACCCCTTTGACAATCTTTAAAAAATGTTGTTTTTTTTTAAATTATGGTGTTATCGCATCAAATTGCATGAAGTGATACTAGGACATGACTTCTTTCAACTAATCAAGGTTCATCTGGAGAATTTTGTTTTTTTGTATATATAAGAAGCTCAAAATCTTGAAATTTACGTAGGAAATCCCGTTTGCATTTAATTTTTTCACTTGTGATCTAATAAGACCAAACTTCCTAGCTTATACTAAGCCAAGAGTTCTAACAACTTACTGAATAAGTTTCATCCTCGAAATGAGACTATTGTAGGGGTTTGAATTTTTAACCTAGATATTTTGCTGAAAAAAGAAAGGAATTTGTGTACTGGCTCACAGTTGTACAATGCAGCAGTTAATTTACCATGACCCATAGGTATCTTCTTATGTCACAGGTGTCTCTGTTACAAAATCAAAGAGATATTCTAGCAATTTTGTTAAAGACTAGTAGCAACCCCTGTGGTCAGAGAGTAGTCCAAAGGACCCTGTGCACATGTAAGGCGGTAAACCACAAAGGGTGCAAAACAGAGCCAAGTCAATTTTGCAGTAAACATGGCCATAGATGCAATATTGTTGCATTGTAGTTTGTAAGTCCTTGCTCTAATTTTATTGTTGTGTTGTATCATTGCCGTAGCATAATGGCCAGATCTTANTTAAGGTCCACTAAATGCATGTGATGAAATCACTCATTTACATATTATGTTTATATAATCAGTCATTATTATCATTCACTTTGCTTCAGTCTTGCATGAATATTTATCATTCTCTTTATAACTAAGAAAGCCTGGGGCAAATGCATATCTGATAAGTAGAAACTACTGCATTGCAATTAGTATTTAAATCAGTTGCTGCCACTGTGGCATTCAGATACATGTAGATTCCCCGTAGATATTGTGTAAAAATGCTGAATGCTTGGACCTAATAAAAGGACTTAAAAGTTGGAACTGAAGATGTGAGTTTGTGGTTATATTCCCTCTCCCATGCATCAGTGACAAGCAAAATATTAGTAGAACCTGGGTACGGAGGAACATGGACCCCTACATACTACATACTAGTACTGGTATGTAATAGGCCTACAGCCGACAATAATAGTTTTCGGTTAAAAAAATGAATGCATTAACGCCACGTCGAATATATGTTATATAATGTTCTAGTAAACTCAAGTGGCCGTTGTTTATATTACTTACGTCATTTTTAGTAGTGGTTTGGGGCAATAATGATGTCACTGCGCACCTGCAGGCTGTTAATTTCAATGTTGAGGAGCGTACATAACATCTCCAAATTATTTTAATATTTTCACAAATACACAGTACTCAGAATTCATAGAAAGAAAAGTCGGATTACCGTTTCCGTGGATGTAACTATGCCAATGGTTATAGACATTCAAGTCCACGGTTTCAAGTCAAATTATGCATTGGATTCAACCCACCTGTTAGGAGGCGTCGCCACCGGAAGCACGCTGTAACTAGGTTAGCGTACAAAGTCAAGTTACTATAAGTAAAATAGTTTCGCTAAAATGACATTATAAAACATGTAGTTTACTGAACTTACAGAGGAGACTTTGCAATGAAATTTTAATTTTAGTCATATTAAAAATATTTTTCACATCATGGAGCTATATTATAAAATGTTACATATATATATTTTATTCAAAACTATACTCTGTAAGAGAGAAAGTGAAACCAGTCAAGGGGGCGAAAGCGACTGGAACGTGACTGCTGTGCAAAGTCTGCAAAGTTGGCATGCTTTTATCTGATTGCATACTTTAATTATATATTTTAATAACACGTTAAACTCTTTTGTGATACGGTACCGGTCTGCACGAGGTTGAAAAATACGTGTAGTCTAAAGACAAATAAAACAAATGGCCGCCACATCCAGGGGCGCGGCTGAAGATGACGACAGCCTAAGAGCGATGATAACAGAGCACTTCGTGAATTGCCCTATTTGTTTTAAGGAATATGACGAGCCGACATCGTTGCCCTGTCTTCACTCTTACTGCAAGGGCTGTCTGAAGACGCACGTTGGTGATTTGACCCCGGGGAGAACATTCTCATGTCCAGTATGCCAGCGGGAGACGCGGGTCCCAGCCGAAGGACTTGAGGGATTCTCTCATAATTTTTATATTGAAAGCCTACAGGACACCTTGCTGCAGCCCCCCAAGAAGAGAACGTGTGGTGCATGTGCCTTAGCTACAGGGGCTGTTGTGGATGCGACGTCCAAATGCATCAGTTGCCACGAGTATCTGTGTAAGCAATGTGCCCCATATCATTGCAGGACCAAGTTCACAAAAGATCACAAAATCTTCACGCTTGAACAGTTGCGAAGTAAAGAATACAAGGCAGAGATCCAAGAACTGCAGATTTACCTATGCCCAGACCACAAAGATGAAGCCATTAAGTACTTCTGTGAAAAGTGTCAGCGACCAATCTGCCGTGACTGCAAGATTTTGCTTCATGACGATCACAAGTGCATTTCTCTTGATGCTGCTGCTGAAAAGGTGACAGTAACACTGCAAACTAAACTTGACCATCTCGAAAAGAAGTTCACAGTGGAAGAGGAGTTGTTGTTGGCTCTCGAAAAGAACACAGCTGATGTCGAGGCAAATATTAAGCAATGGGCAGGACATCTTTACAGTTTGGTTGACCAGCAAGAAAAATGTCTCATGGAAATGGTACATGCACATAAAAAGTCATTTGAAATTAGCCTAGAACACCATAAAACAGCTAAAGGTACCATGGACTTGGTGAAAGGTGTCCTTGGCCATGCTTTGCCAGGAGAGCTTCTAATGATGCAGCAGCAGCTATGTGACCAGATGGACAACCTTCAGTCCAGTTCCAGCTCCAAAAAGCTTCCAGCACTGCTCTCTTTCCAGCTACAGAGCAGGGATGGGATTGAGGAAGACCTATCCAAGGGAAAGTGGTTTGGCAAAATTGTGGAGGCCCAAAACCCAGAATTGAGAACCACAGAGGAAAAGGAAACCAACAGCTCATCAATGTTAGCATCTCAGAATGTGGTACAAGGTTCTCATGAAATGAAGCAAATGTTGGAAAAACCAAGCTGTGGTGAAGAAAAGGAAGTTAGGACCCAGAAAATGAGACCCCCTGCAAGGTGTGTTCTGGAGTTCAACACCAAGTGCAAGTACCCTGGTGCCATTGTGGTTACAGGAGATAAAAAGTATGCCATTGCAGACTTCAACCGCGAGTCAGGACAGGTTTGCGTTTACCTTCAAAACGGAGAATTTGAAGAAGAAATCATCGAAGGAGCAAAAGGCAATGAGCTTGAGACAGTACAAGGTCTGTGTCATCTCCCCAGTGGTAGAACTGTCATATCAGATTTTGGGAATGATAAATTATTTGTTATGTCAAAGCTTTGGAATCCTGCGACAGCTAAGTGTATTGATGAACCGTGCGGTGTTGCTGTCAATAGTCAGAATCACATTGCTGTGGCACAAATGAACGATCAGTGTGTTACCATGTTTGTCATCGAGCCTAATGGAAAAATGACTGCAGTTGCTGTTATAAAAACACATGATTTCCCAAGTCCATTTTGTCTAGCTTATACAAGTGAAGATTGTCTTGTTGTAGGCCATGTTAATGATGGCAGGGTTGATATCTTGAGTCCATCTGGTGTCATACATTACACAGGCCCTAGAAACAACCTGAAAAAGCCTCAGAGTATTTGTGTGGATAGTTGTGACAACATATACATAGCAGATAGGAGGATGCATTGTATCCACATTATATCTTCAGTGGGGCAGTTTATTCAGTACTTTGAAGCTGAAATGGAGGGTGTTAGTTTCAGGTTTCCTTGGGGTCTGGCAATTGACCAAGATGGAGACTTGGTTTTGGGGTTATATGGAGGGAAAGTGAAAGTTTTCTCTTTTCTGGAATAGAAGGTAAACTCAATGAGTTTATGAAATACAAGACTTTAACTGCACAGAAAATAAGAAACACAATACATTCAAAATGGTTGTGGATCTGTGTGATAATATGTCAACATTCATTGTATTTTACATTACCTTTCAAAGACACAGACTAATTGGTACGTAAGTGGAGAATACTGAAAGTAGGTTGAGAAACACAAAATATAGTGGTAGTATTGTGGGATCTATCATTGGGTTGTGGAGAAATTGTATGATGAGGGGAGAGGGATAGTATTTATATATATGAATATTATAACTATGAACTTGTTTTTTGAATTCCGAGTTCCTTATTTTTGAGACTCTCATAATTATTATAGTTAAAATTGAAATGTATAACTCAAAAACATGTTTATACTAGTAGATGATTAAGAGCAATTGTTTAATGTTTCCAGATACATGAATTTTTATGTGATAATTTGTGCATTGTGTAGTGCATTAATGAAGACTGGATTAAAAGGAAGTACTTGGCAATTCTGTCCCCCTCCCCCACTTACAAACTATTTCACAAGGTCTATAGAAAACTGTAGACTAGTCTATAGTTAAATGATTATAACACAGCTGAGAATAGGAATTATTAGCTGCCCAGAATAAACAGTAGAGGCATTGTAACATTACACTAACTAGTTCACCATCTGTCTTGCACATTAGTCTAGGACTTGCCCTAAACAAGATCTTTGACTACCTAGTAACAATTATGTTAACATGTGACTGTTAAAGAATTTTTTTATCAACCTCCCATCATATTCTAAAAAATATTTAGTTATATTGACTGGAAATGTGTATCTTCTGTATATGTCCATTTATAAAAATTATCATGTTGTCTTGTGTGGTAAAATAATAAAATCTTCAGTTGATTAGTTTTATATATTTTTTCAATGTGGCTTATTTTGTTGTATAATAAGTTAAGCATTCATCGCTTACTTCTTTTTTAACGCAATCAAATTGTATTTCATTCCATCGTTAAACCAAATTTTGTTTGTTGTGTAGTAATATAGTATAAACCTTGTGATGAATATTTTGTATAAATCTTTGAGGTTTAACAGTCATTGTTTTAATACAATCAAATTGTATTTTTCATTGCTTTAACCAAATTTTTTTTGTGTAGTAAATTAGAAAAAAATTTTGCAAAGATGGTTATTTTTTATAATTGGAATTAAATGCTGATTTTGTTTGAATACAACCAAATTGTAATGACCTTGCTTGTACCAGATTGTTTTGAGAAAGGCTTCCAATTGTACATATATTAGTATATTTTAATAAAAAAAACAATCAAATTGCTGAAATTACATTTGTTTTTATTGAATACACTAATACACATTTTTTAGTTTAGATTAGATTTATGTTATAAATTTTAAAAGTATCATCCATCTGTTTTGATATCTTTATGCTCCCTTGCCTGGTTAAAAAAAAAAAAAAAAAAAAAAAAAAAGGACCAGCTGACACCATTTTCACATCATGTCGTATAACTTATATTCCACGCCATTTTGAATGGTTCTGTCACATACTTTACACAGATGGGTGTATTACCCCCTTTCACAACTTCTTGTCCAACCAATTCCTCCAGTAAATCAACTTGGGCCCCGTATCTCGCAAGCATCGCGCACTGCGACCGAGTGCAAGCGTCTCGATTCCATAACTAGCCCCATCTAATACACTGTAGCCTCTATATGATATTGCTATTTGCAGTACGCGATACTTTCGAGTTACCAGGCCTTGGTTTACTACCTTGAGCGAAGATATTAGGTTGTCCATCTCTGATTAGGGTGCAACACAGAAAAGTGTACTGCATGCTGTGGATTGGGTCTGAGAGGTACATGTAATACGTTGACACATAGTCAAAGCTAGTATCAGTATGGTCCAAAATGACTAGAGAAAACTTTCCCATTCTAAACAAGACCAGTTAATCTCACCAACGAGTCATTTCACGTTTATCAAAAGTTGACATATATATTCTTTATCATGCAGACTTTAAATATTTCAGGACAAATATAGATTTAATTATTTTTCAAACAAATAAATCATGACTCAAGTTTTTCATGTAAATTGTACGTGCTGCCTGGAATCTTAGTTACCCCACCACATGATAAGACTTCTCCTTTGTGTTTAGATTTACAGAAATATTGAACAATAATAAATAAAATTCAATAGTGTGAAAGCTTTCTTGAATGTGATAGCCTGCTGAAAGAAATTGGAGAAGTTGGATTACAAACTGTAACATATGTTGGAAAGTAAAAGACATGCTTTTGACACCAAAGAGTAAATGATATTCTCCACTCACTATTCTTTTTCTTTACAACTGAAAGATTTTTCACATATAACAGTGCCTTACAAGCTTATTCAGTAAAAGAAAAAGNTTAGAGTTTGACTGAAATATGATGTCTTTAAAGGTCATCTGGTGTGTGTGTGTGTGTGTGTGTGTGTGTGTGTGTGTGTGTGTGTGTGAGAGATGGATGGAGTCACGAGTGATGAGTGTTTTAGTATACCTTGCCAGTTGCTGCAATTTCATATCCTCTTGCAGCTCCTCTACTTCTATGATGTGACGATCAGGACGCATTCTCCTAGAACTAGACCTTAGGTTATACATGCTGTCAGTGTCAGAAAGCACTGCTGGTGTGGACTTGGATTTTCTTGGTGAGCTGCGACCTGGTGGTGGCTGTAGCTGTACTCTGGTCCCTTTGTGTTTGATGACTGACGAGTTCTGCATTCGATTCTCTTGAACTTCAACGTGATTCAAAGACCTTTGTCTTTCCAGAGCCACATTTCTATTGCTTTTATCAGACAACTTGTGCTTCACATGAGAGCTCACTGAAAATGCATCAGCTTTATTTCTCATGGAGTCTGTAGTCAAAGAAACGGCCCTTGTAATATGTGCCTTGTTCTTGCTGAGTGGATGCTTTTTAATCCTTAATTTTACAGATCTCGTTTCCAATTTGTCGCTTTTAGTGCTTGAATCCCTAGAAGAGTGGCTTCTGTTTCTTAAGGAGAATCTGTTTTTAATCTTAGCACTTCCAGGATGTCTAGAACTCGCTGGACCCTCACTATTTCTATTTTTCAGGGGATTGCCTGTAAGCTTCCTATGTGCTTTTTCCCTAGTTTTCCACCTCCCAAAATATGCCACATCCCTCTCATTAACTTTGCCTCTGCTATTTCTAGATGAAAGAGCTCTGTTCTTCAATATCACCTTCTCTCTGCTTTGCACACTTGGTCTTAGAGATGCTTCAGATCTTGATTTTTTTGATCGGTATTCCTTCACTTTCTTCAGTCTCTTACTCAAAATTTGACTCCTAATACTAGTTTTAGTATTACCAGGCATTTCAGCAGATTTTGCCTTAGACTTAAATCTGTATGCCTTTGTTTTTGATCGCGTATTGGGATACACTGCTACAGAAGAGTTTTCATTTCTAACAGTAGATCGGTGATCAACCTCTCCTTGAACAGGGGCCAGTCTTTCAACTGCAGTATTATCTTTCCCAACCTGCTGTTGTCTTGCTGTAGAAGTTTTGATATGGGGTTGTATTCTCTTCCTTGATGGACCAGATATGCTGGGTAACTCTTCATCATCAGGGGTTCTTTTATCAGCATCAGTCATCTTGTTTTTTCTGGGCCTGTTTGATTTATTAGAGGGCATTGGAACACAACTGCCATTACTTCCACATCCTACTTCAGTTTCATTATTACCTAGAATTAAGACATCAAGTATGGTACAATGAGAATTTGTCTTCAATTCTTTTCCATGCCTTTTAAAACCATGTTTGTCAGCAACAGATATATACCACGGTTTTCGATGAAATCTCACTAGACAGTTTCTAGTTTTGATGGGACCCGGGTTGTACCTGGGATCTCTCATGTACAGCACGGCTCTCACTACTTGCTCCAGTTCTTGCTGTATCTGCTGTTGTGGCACATCAGAGACACCATCATGATATGCACACTGGATTCTGAATTTGTACACAGTGTCCTTGTGTTGCAAGAGCCTGGTCTCTGCACCAGGGACCTCAAATGGCTTCATTGTTCAAATCTGAAAGTGACAAGATAATCAATGATGACGGTGATGAAAAGGAAATGGCAAAAAGAGTTTAAATTTATTTAATTTAATTTATTTAAATTATTTAATCATGGGTCTCAGATGCAATAAGAATGCTACTAATTTCAAGTTACTGACTGTGCTGCAATTTTTGAAATCAAGTAAGGAAATGCTCTGCACAGTCACTAAAACTTGGTATCAGTTAACACAAATTTCATGTTTGAGCTTATGGTAGGTATATCACAATCCGCTAGGGGCGCTACAGTCGTTACTGTCCAGTGGCAGTGAAGTGTAAAACTGAAGTCGGCCTGCTGACAGCTCGCCTATGGCACCCCTTTTTTAAATCTCTCTTTTAGCGCCGCGTAAAAAAACTAATACAAGCCATTAACTAAATAAGCTGTAAATCAAAGAGTAAAATCCGGTCACGTGATTTTCCCGTGTTGCAGTCTTTGAGAAGTTTCAGTTCAGGGTGTTTGAAGTTTTGCCTCGACAAAATGCTCAAAAATGTCAGGGAAGTACTGGTTTCAGTTTTTTAAAATTTATATCGAATAAAGTTTATGAAATTTGCAATATTATGTAAAAAAATCATGAAAATTAAACCATGCGAAGTATAGTTTATTTGATGCGCAATATTTATAGTGCTTGATCTGCACGGAAGCCATCCCAGCCATGTGCTTGTGCGGTCGCCAATTTGGGTTTGTTTCCGGGTCATTAGATTAACATACAGCCATAATTGCCCTAATTGGTCACAAGCAATTTGAGCTGCAGCTACAGCTGAGTGATCACCGCTGGTCAGTAGTGACAGGTTTTAAGCTGAAAAGTGTGGACACTTTTGGTGCATTTTTGCAGTTAAAAAACTTCAATATCTTTGTTGCTTGTAGGAATATTAAAAAAATTCCAAGTGATTTCATCCGGTTTTTGCATTACCTTTCAGATGATATAAGTATTATAATTTTCTGATCAGTTTGAAAATTTTTCTGATATACCTACTTATGGTTTTCAAGTGTGATGGCTGTGCAAAAAGATGCAAAAAGTGCTAGCACATGAAACTTTACAGCAAACATCTCAAAAAGTGTAAAATGACATCAAGCTTATACATTTTATAATACCCAAGTTTCATTTCGTCAATAATGAAACGATTTTGTTTTCAAATGCTCCGAGGCTGAAGTGAATGGCAAACAAGAAATTTATTTTTATAAAGCGGATAGCTAAGTAAGTCCACATGACATTAAGCTGTTCTTAATTCTAATTGTGTACGCTAAACTGTGCTATTCCGGACTGAAATGGGCCAATCTAAATGTACTTACGAGTTTCCTGAGAAAGATAATGAACTTAGATTTTAGCAAGCTGTCGTCGTCTGCACACTTATCAATTTCAAACATGGCGGCTTCTCTAACCCATCTCTAACAAACGCGATTTAAAATTATTGACTTTGACAATGAACCAACTCAAAATATCGATGAAAAATATATTTTATTTGCCTAAATTCAAGATAGCTCAAATAAAAACAGCTTTGAATTATACATTTTTCTTTGCAGTTTCCCACAATGCAGCAGCAAAACACATTTGACCTACTTACGGACTGTCGAACCAAAAATGAGTGAATGTGACTGGAATGATAACTAAATTGTATTTTCTGTTTTTCAGTGGAAAGTAAGTATTCACTGCTTGTATTAAACCAAGTATTTTCGATAGAAGGCCAGGGAAATCTACGAAAAAATGATTTGTCGAAGGGCATTGATACTGTAGAGTTGACGTGTTAGATTTCTCACTCAGAGTAAACCAGGTGGAATGATTGGTATGTGTAGGTTTTGGTTTTAAAGAAATTCGTTGATATATCAAAATAAAGAAAAAAGTTAAATACTTAAAATGACTCAAATTGAAGAAGCTACCCATGCTGAGTATTCAAGTCCAGTGGTCATGAAATTCTAACCAGAAAGGTTAAATAAATATTTTAACTTATTAAATTAAATTAAATATATTTCATTTATTTTTGTTACCAAGCTGCTAAGGCGTATTTTAAGCTGCAGGTCCCAGGCAGGTTTATCTGAAACTAAGGGTTAATTATGACATTCAGCTGTAGATTGAGTCTGCTCTGTTCAGAGGGGAAAACAACAGAATGCAAGATAAACTGAAAAGCTGGGGAAACAGAGACACCAGGAATTTTTGGAAAAAAATAATTAAATCAATGTCTTTCAATTCAGATTAACTCTTAAACAAGAAGACAAACAGAAAACAACAGACAATGTGAGAACCATTAGAGACTTATAGTGTAAACCGAGAGAGCCAGGAAGAAATGTCAGACGCCATGCGGCTTTCAAGTTTGAATCGTTTCCGGCATCCTGCAATCAGGTTTGCGTTGCCAGTGTTGTCTATAGTGGCTCTCCTGGTCTCTTTTCACATGTGTTGGAATAAGTGTAGTGACAGGACCACCCACGGCCCGACTGGACATCAGGATGATAACTTTTATAGGTGAGAACAGAGACAATATTTTATAATATCTGTTAAATTGTTCATGGTTCTAAGGCCTTCTGTTTATTATATTCACTGAATTTCAGCCTCATAATGCTCTTGTGTCAGCTGTTTCATAAATAATTAGTTCCAAATTTAGCCATTTTTATTGCTAATGTGTTAGTAAGCATTATACAAGTTTTTGCACAATATCAATGTACTGTAGAATTTACTGTAGTGAACTAGCTGTGCATGTATATCTGTCCAACTATATATTTATCCTCTTTCCGTCCCTTTCTAAATCCTCAGGGCTTCCCCATAGAACTGTCAAGCCATCGTTTGGCCACACCAGAAGATGGGTGACTTTTCTACAGCTTATGGTAACTTTATAGATTCAAAGACATCCAATCTGCAGCAGTAACCTTTTATAAAAACTTAATCTTTTTTTTTTTTCCCAGGGAAGATAGGCCGATAGGACAAGATGAAATATATGAAGAAAACACTGAGAATCTCAACCCAAATGACCTTGGCAAAGGTCAAGGTCAACATAAATCAAAGCCTGTTGATGAAGTGGAGGAGGAGGAGGATGGTGGTAGAAGTCAGAAGATGTACAAGGCAATACAGTGCCACATTAACGAGGATTATAATATTCCTTGCAGAAAGGAGGACAAAGAGGTCTATGTTCCATTTAGTTTCGTGCAGAACTACTTTGAGGTAAGGCTGAGTGAAGTGAGCTAGGCATTGGTTTTGTGTGACTTATTGTGGACAACGTTCATTGGTCCAGCATCAAAATACCTAGTTTTACGAAAAATCATGTACAGACATTAAATTTACATTTGTACACGTACTGATCATCATTTTCTACATTCCTTGTCACCTTCAGCAGTACTGTTGTTGTCACTGTTTTACACTAATAAAATTTTGTTTCATATTCTTGATTTCAGATCACTGGCAGTGTTCAGCAACAGGAAGATGGCGGAGAAGTGTTAAACTGGCTTCACAGTTACTCCGAGATAAAACAGCTGCGAGAGAAATACTCAACAAAGGGCGTCTTCATGCACTTTGACCACTATAATGTGGAGGTGCGGGACAGGGTGAAATGTGTCAGTGGAATGGATGGTGAGTGGCATTCTTTTTTCCCTGTCCCCATCCCCTTTTTTTCTGTCATTCTTGACCCCTTCTTTCTCTCTCCTTTTTTTTCTCTCTCTCTCATTCCCCCTTTCTCTCTCTCTCTCTCTCTCATCCCCACTATCTACCCCTCTCTCATCCCTCTCATTCTCTTTCATCCTTCCCCCTCACTCTCTTCCACTCTCTCTCTCCCATCCCCTCTTTCTTTTTCATCCCTCCCACTCACTCTCCTCTCTCTCTCTCTCTCTGAAAGTCAGCTCAATCTATTCTCCCTGCCAAGTCCACAGTAATTCAAACACCTGTATATATATCTATCTCCAGGTATCCCAGTGTCCACCCAGTGGGGACCTCAGGGCTACTACTACCCCATACAGATCGCCCAGTTTGGCCTTAGTCACTACTCAAAGTTCCTCATCGACACAGAAAAAGCCAGTGTTACCCAGCGTCTTAAAGACGGGCAGGTTAACCGTGAGCTTTGGGAGGTCCCAGGGGGCGCCACTGTCCACAGCGTAGAGGACGATGATAGAGGAGGGCAAGTAGTGGAGTTTAAGAACACTGGTGAGTTTGTGTGTGTGTATGTGTGTGTGTGTGGGGGGTGATGTTCATCATCCTTTATTAATATGCATATTTGTTTCTGATATTTTATACAGGTGGTCAAGTTATGGAATTTAGGAATACTGTTGTAGGGGAGGGGTATACTTTTATAACTTATTTATACATATTCTAAATATTTGAGAACTTGACGATGTTTGTTATATTTTAATAGTTGTGGCCAGTTTGGGGTATTAAAGAACACAAAATGTCTTGCTCTGAGTGCATGTTTGTGAGTTTGAATTCTAGCTATTTAAGTGTCATGTTTTCTATCGACCACTTATGAAGCTTATTCATCTTCGTTTTCAGAGTCCTTTTCAAAGCCAGGGATTTTCTTTTCACTAGATGAGACAGCAGACTTTGTGTTAACCTTTGACCTTAAGTTTGAGCACAATGGCAGCCTGACAGTGGAAGTGATGACAAAAGGCCGTTCCAAGCAGAAACTGTTCCTAACATACACTTGTAGTAACGTATTCATAGCTGCCTCTGGGAATAACATTTACCATGGAATAGGTGCCAATAAATGTAGAATGTGGCGCACATTCACACGTGACATTGTCACGGATGTCCAAAAAGGTGCTAAAATATTATGGAAGAAGAAGTATACTAAAAAACACATTTCGAGCATAGTGGGGCTCCACCTCCGTGGGCATGGGTGGATTGATAACATCTCGACTTCCAGCTCGGCTCACATGGCCCAGTTTTTTGCCGCGGCTGATTGGATGCTGAAGGCCCAGGATGAGGAAGGGGGCTGGCCAATCATGGTGACGCGGAGAATCGCAGACGGAACAGTGGAGCTTCCGCCTGGATGGTACTCTGCCATGGCCCAGGGTCACGCTATGTCCACGCTCACACGTGCCTTTCTACGCTCTAAAGAACAGAAATACCTGGATGCTGCAATACGTGGGTTAAAACCCTTTGATGTGAAGAGTAAAGATCATGGGGTTTTAGCAATATTTATGGACAAATATGCATGGTATGAAGAATACCCAACTACGCCCAGTTTATTTGTTCTCAATGGTTTTATTTACTCCCTCTTGGGGCTTTATGATCTGAAGTCAGTGGCGCCGGAGAACTCTGACGTCCAGCGCCTTTATTCTCAGGGTTTGACCTCTCTCAAGGCCATGCTGCCGCTTTATGACACTGGGTCTGGGACAACGTACGATTTACGTCATGTCACGATGAGCAGGCCCCCAAACAGGGCGCGATGGGACTATCACACCACACACATAACACAGTTGCTAGTTCTGGCTTCCATTGAGGACGATCCTATTTTCGCCACGATGGCCAGACGGTGGACCGAGTACACTAAAGGAAAAAGATCTCCACATAATTGAAAAATTCCATGTCAGCACAATGTATGGTGATGGCTTGAACTTTTCAATGGGGAAAGTTGTGAATTTTACAGATAATGTTATTTTTTGAAGTCATCAGTTCTTAAAATTAGAACATTTTAATTGAGTGGTAGCAACAAAATTGAAAAGCAAGCTACCCTGTAGTTCTGTTCTATGCTGAAAAAGCACCACAAATGATAATACAGAAATTTAATTTTTATGATTCCAATGTTATGTATCTGAAGGATTTAATTTGATGATTTTTGCCCATTGAAAAGATCCAAGTCATTGCTGTATCAAAGTTAATATGAGAAACAGTAGCACTTTACACTAAAGGTCAAATGTGTGTTTGGAGATGCACATAATTTTTCCAGTATATTTTACATTATTTGTCCAGCAATCTTTATGGAGTACTGAACATAAAATCGATAATAAATTTTGAAAATCTCTGACACTGAACTATAAGAGGGTAAATGTACTATAAGAGAGATGTTTGAAATTCTCAGTATTCAGAGAAACAAAGCAGAGTTAATTGTGGTACATATAATCATTAGTCTTCCACAGTGGGAATTGGGCATATTTTTTGTTTCTTTAATAGGAAATTTAGCTATCTATTTATGGCCCCATTCAGAATAGGGGACTAACTAGTCCAATGGTCAAATATGGCGACCCACTACAAAGCTTTCCATCTAATCCGCTAATAGACACTGAATAGATATCCCGTGGGTAAGTATTCAAGTGGGTCGGCCATATTTTACCCTCAGACTAGTTGGTCCCCTATTGTGAATGGGGCCTATCGGTCTTTCAACCACTATTCCAGCAAAAAAAGTAAAAGCTGCGCCATGCTTATTTTTATGTAAAGTATCCAGTTCTGCAAGGAAGCACAGCATAGAACACAGCAGCCTTTGTATTTTGCTAGAACCTGGTTGCACTTCTTGTGAACCTTAAATGTGAAATAGAAGAGATGATTTCTTTACAGCACCTCTCTAATCATCTCCTCTATGAAACTGCAATCTGTATCATATGTACGATTTTATCAGTTTATACATGGTGCTCAATTTGTAACCTGACGTGGTGTGAAAAATGCATATATTTATGTACAAGCTTTATTTAATGTGTACTTTACATTTTTATCATACAGAGTAAAGTTTAAACTGCAAATGAGTAAGCACAAGTATTCCAATTCTATCATCTACGGCAATGTCTCATCATACGTTATTAACATATAGATTTTATAAATGTATGAAATGCCACTGGCATCAATTACAACACAGAGTTAATTCATACTTTATGAAGAGCTCATCACAAGAACATGACAAATTATCAGTTGTGGAACCACAAATCTGCTGATATTTCATTAATCATGAAGAATTCCAGACTCATTAGTAAGCCTCTCAAAGTATCTTGACACTGCATTAAACATTCTTATCTGCATGCAGCAGGGTCAAAACAGAAGAAACCACAGAAAATAATAAAATAAGCCAAAGCAACCATAAGTCATATTTAACCCAATGTAGACCTGTCCTGCATGAGAAAAGGGTGTTTTTGCTACACAGAATTGTATAGTATTATATGTCAACAAAGCGATCTATGTCTAGACAAAATAATATCAGAGCTGAAGAATGACACTTGTCTTGATTTTTTTCATACTAACATGACAGCAAATTCACAAATGTGTAATGATAAAAATGTTCAAAAGCCTCCTGTTGTTATAATCTCTCAGTATAACAGCCACAGGATTACAAACTGGTTGTCACATTAAACAAGGCATAATCTCTCTTACCCGGTGTGTGTAATGTCCTCAGCAATGTTTCCATCATGATTGATTAAAAATGATCTAATTTGCACTCTTTTCTTCGTAATACATTAATAGAAAATATCAGGTTTTGAAAAAACCAAAAGGTCATTGTAATCTTTGCTGTGCAATGTACAACGGAAAGCTTCTATGCTGAATATATAATTACTCATGTCAAAGTAATGAACTAATGTGGTTAGAATTTTTTTTAAAGAGAACTAACTTTTTTGAGAAGGGGAGGGGGGATATTCTACAAGTAAGTGAACCTTGGAGTTGCAACAGTGATGCACAGATATTGTGTGATATTTGCAAAATTTTGTCGTACCCCATTACTTTCTTTGCTTTATTCTATAGTAGCCTCCAACATGGAAAGAAATCGACAGTAATATAAAATGATTATGCAAATATTACACATATTGTACGTGTGACAGTCTAACTGTCATTCCTCAGAGGCAAGGCTCAACAACAAGTTTTATCACCACATGTCCTTTGGACAGGTGGTCATAAAATTTAAATTTAACCTGTCTGAACTGAAATTTTACCTGTCCCAGACAGGCGCCAGTGTTGAGCCCTGAAAGGTTCAATTTTTGTGGAATGACCCTTCTTTTTTATGGTGTATATATTTCAATGGACAAAAGTTGCACAGCAATCCCTCGCGATTCGTTGAGAAAGTATGTGAGAAAATCACATCCTCGGGTAAAAGAACCATTTCTTCCTCAGTGTGGTGACTGGAGCCGGCATCTGTTTCTTGTTACATGCAGATTCATAGGCTGTCGCAACTTTGTTATTAACCTGGAATCACAGATAAAAGTGGATCTTTAAAAAACTGGAAAATGTAAGTGTAGAAGGCATACAGCTTTTTAAAAAAATACGTGAATTATGTGAATGATCCAAGGGGCATAAATGCAACACCCGTATATCTGAATTTTATGGAGAAATCCGTAAGACTTACCTATGTATTAAATAAAAATATGTAACCTAAAATTTATGATTGCAATAGTAATTTAATAAGTAACCACTTGAGTCACCTTCTTACAAATTTCAGGCATTCCAACTTTTCAAAAGAAAAACAAAGAATCACCTTTTCGAAGTTGCAAGCCTCAGGCCTCTACCCCCAACCTTTCAGTCTTTCAAAAAAAAAAACTTTTTTGATATTGCTTGCTTCAGGCCTGTAACCCCTCCTCATCCCTCTTTCCCCAAGATCAAAGTGTACTCACTACTGTCATCATGGAGAGGAGGTCCTCTTTGTGGGCATACTTGTACAACACCGTACATAATTCCTGGATGAACCAACTCCCGCGCTCAGAGTTCCTCCATGACACAAAGCCTGTGGAGAAAATTAAAACAACTGCTGAAGCAAAAATCAACTAATATGCACATGAAATGAAACAAATCTCTTATAAAATATTCATAATATTTTTTTTCTTTTAAACTTAAAATCATGTTTCACTCAGAAAATATGGACAAATTTACTTGAGAAATCAAACTAATCATAGATTACAAAGGAAGAATTTTCAAAAGTGCCAGATGTTGACATAAAATCTTTAAGGTTAATTGGAAAGAATTAAATATCCCTTGAAAATGTTTAAATGAAAACATTACTTTACAGTAATCAATTAGACTGACTTAAACGTCACATGTTTAGTCAATTCAAAGCTATGTTTGTATAAAAATTCTCTACATTCACAATTTTCCATGTGCATAAGCCCAACCAAAATTCTATACAAAATTATAAGTTCACATGTCTGCTTCACCCTAAATTTTTATCTCAGTTAAAGTATTCATTCATCTAGAACTGTACCTGTGCTAATATAAACACATTGTCTAAATTCATATTTTATAATATACATCAGCAAATCCAGAATTTCTCTACCTGGCACTGTGGCATAGGCCACCAACATGTCTGCTCCTTCTGGAAGCTTATGTCTCAAATTCTCGGTATCTCGGAGATGCATTTCCTGCAGTTGCTCTAACATCGAGGGGCCAACTACATTCAGGCTGGTTCGAGTGGCTGGAACAGGCCCAGCATCTCTACCAGAGGGCGCTGTTTCTCCATCCGTTGTTTCAAACCCACGGTTGAAATTTTCTGAATATGTCAAATTGTTGAAAATCAATACTGGTGTAAGTATGTAAATCAAGCTACATGTACAGCTGTTTTTGAAAATATATTGCATTTTTTTAATGGAAAAATATGAGCATGAATAAAATGATTGTTGTCCATCTGGTGATAATGGCAAAAAAATTAAACTTATTTTGGTCAAATCAGACCTGATGAAGATATTACAAGTCATATCCAATTATGGCCATGGATAATACTTACTGCTGTACTTCTCAAAACAGATATCAATACAATAACTACTGATAAACATAAAATACCCCCAGAGTCAGTGGCACCATCTCTCTCTCTCTCATACTAGAATGGTTGACAAAGTATACTTACTTCCTCTACAGGCCTGTATCACAAACAACTTTGGTTTGCCTCTAAGGGCAGGGCAGTGGGCTCCATCAAAAAATTTTATCAGTTTGTCAATTTCCACCGGTACACAGTCAGTGCCATATATAACGTTTTCCGATCCGTGACTGAGGAGAACCACTATGGTGGAATCTACATGTCTGTGACTGTCTCTTATAGAAAATCCTCTGATGGCATTTTCCATTTCCTGAAGCACCAGGTTAATAGTATGCAATAAGAAAAATATGATGAAAATTGATAAAAATTATTTGATGACAATTGGGTGGGCTGTCCTGTTTGCTGAATTTGTTGAGAAAATTGTAATAGTCATTTTTTTTTTAAACTGTGGCATTTCTTACACACCTTTGGAATATTACATTTTTGCTATTTGCAAACATTTTTAAAATTACATTTAGAAATTCATATTAGTTAAAATCTGAGGTGAATATCTCTACAAATGCATAAATTATCATCTGTTCAACTTAAAAACACAAATTGAAATACAAAAAATATTGAATAAATAAAAAAATATATCACTGATAAAAAATTCCATACCCTTCCTTTCATATTGTCAAACACAGTGACATCGTAATTTAAGGCTTTAAACACATTCTGCAGGTTGTCCCTGTCTACATCAGTCCCCAGTCGCTCCGTGAGCTGCGACCCATGAAAGTACCTGTTGTTGATAATCAGGGCGTAGCCTCGTGGTTTTGATGTCATTTTATATATCTGAATAAAAATGATTGAGATAGCTTTTCACTATTTTCTATGAAGGACTGACCCTAAAAGGAACTACTCCTGTTTACATTATATGAAATTGAGTAGCTACAACAGTTAAAAGTATTGTAAGGGAAACAGTAATCTGACATAATGTGCTTCTGCTACTGACATTTTGGCATAAAACGTCATGGGTTGATTCAATATGTGATTGGCTGTTTTTCCCACATAAGTAATTGCAAATTAAGGAGAGAAAGAAAAACAAAACAAACAATATATTCTTTTAGGGCTCATTGCTAAAAGCAGTCAGATTAACAAGTTCAAATCTTATAAATTAAAGTTAAATGTTTTTTACTTACAAACTCATCTTCTGGGTCATTTACGGGGAGTACTTCATTCTGTTGTAACTGGCCAGTAAACCTCTGCCTGGTCTGTGGTAAATCTAACAAAAAATAAAAAAAAAATATTTAAAAAAATAATAAAAACTCAAAAATTACACATACTGTGCAATTTAATAATAAGTTTTAACTTAAAATGAAGAAATATGGGAAGAGGTGTCATAAAATTATGAATAACAATTGATATAATTAAAATAAAATAATATACAGCATAATAATTTTTTTTCATAATTCAAACCCAATCAAATATAGATAATAATATTCAGTTCAAGAGGTCAAGACTTCATCATCATCTACCTACATCACAGAGCAAAGCTATTTCTTACATCTTGGCAAAAAAAAAAAAAAAAAAAAAAAAAACTTATTTTAAAAACCCTTTTGCAGAACAATAGCTTACTTTTCAAATCAACAACCTGTGCGGACTGTCCTGGAATAATGCTCCTGGTGGCGCTGCAGCTGCCATGTTGACTGATCCCGAATAATAGGATGAGCCAGCATGATAGTGGTTCTGTGAACCTTCATTTTCGTCTACCACCATTTTTTCTTCTGAGTTCTGGCAAGACTGAGATTGACCTGGCTCCTGTTTCACACCTTGCATTAAACAACCTCCAGCGGGAAAAGTGTTGCTCTCATCTTCAGGCTGTGCCACGGGTCCACCGCCATGACTTATGATATGTGGAACGTTTTGTTGCCCAGGCTGAGAAGCATTATTTGGATGTGGCTGAAAAAGGGAATTCTGAGGGGGCTGGAAAGGGCCATTATGAGGGGGCTGGAAAGGGGCATTCGTAGGGGGCTGGAAAGTGGCACTTTGTGGTGGCATGTTTCTGTAGTTTCTGTAAGTGGGGGCTGTATATGGACGCCCGTATCCATAATTAGTCTGTGGGGCATTTTGCTGTAACCTGGAAACAGTGAAAAAAGCAAATGAAGAAGAACCTGTATGAGATAAATATTAACACTCCTTTGTGAAAAGTCTTTAATCATTAAAGAAACATCAAGCTAAATAAATTTATGACAAGGTTACTGGTTAAAATATAATCATCAAGTACATGCTAGTATTCAAACAGAAACATTTAAATCAAGTGATAAATTTGAGTCCCCAAGAAATATAAAAACTTTGGTAGTAAGGGAAAGGAAACTTTACATATGTGTATGTGATGTAATTTTTTTATAAAAGGAACTGTACAATACTATCTATGTTTGGTGTAAAATTATTGTTCAACCGAGTTGAAATGCTTCACTACTACTTATATTACTGGGTATTTCAAAGACGTCAACAAGACTACATTCGTGTAGCAGGGAAAATAGGGCTGTTTTTTATTGACCAAGGCACATTTGTGGTTCGGGATGATGGCCAGGGCCAGGGTAAGAGGGGGAGATGAAAAATGAAATAATGCAGTTTGATGGGTGTGTGCATGAGTTTTACAGAGTTAAGTACAGTGTTGTTGTAGGTTTAATTCTTAGTGTAACTTAATAACTGCCCATGACAAAAGCCATTTACAAGCCATCTCTCAATGTGAAAGTGATTCATTGTCATCTACTTGCTGGCTCTCAATATGAAAGTGACCCTTGGTTTTTAACCCAGTATCTCTCATTGTAAACAAATAAATATAAGACCACTGAAGTCACTATACTGTCACTTACTGTGTCACCGTATCCTGTATGGCATCTGCCAAGTGTTTCTGTCCGCTATGTACCAGACACTGCACAAACAGCGGAAATGCCTCAGGCCCTCTGCGGGGCAAGTCTGACAGCAACTGCTGCACTTTCTGGAGGCGTGTGCGGTGAGACTGGAATTGACAACCAATTATTAGGGACCATTCCCAATGAAACTTTGAGTTTATGTTGATCGAACCAACTCTGGAGAGACTTTCCCTAAGTACAATCAGGTTAACAGATTAACACACCTACTCCTGTCATGGAGTAGAATACAGAAAAACTGGTGAGTATACGGGTATGTTGGTAACAAGAGGAGGTGTGTTTATCTGTTGCACTGATTGCATTCAGCAAGAGATTCCACAGAGTTGGATTGATCTACCAGTACTAGTATGTTGACTCATGGTGTCTATGGGAATAGGCCCTAAAAGTAAGAGAACCTTGGGATCCCTATAGGGCAGATCTTTTAAGAAATTATATACTTTCTGAAACTAAATATGATGAATACAAAACTGATGGTTATTTTCTTTCTTTCTTCTTTTTTTTTTTCACAGAAGATTAGTGCAATATATTACCGCCTTTTTTCACACAAAAAAATCTTTCTCACAACTTCTTTCAAGTGATAAAGCAGTGTGTGTGTGTGTGTGTGTGAACTTACCGCGACACAATCTATCATGTGATCAGTAAACAGCCCACAATCTACCAAATGTGGCAGTATTTCATCAACTAATAGATCATTGGTCAACTTCACACGGTTTTTACGTAGCGCTTCTTTTTGTAAGGGATCCATTGCATGACGAGCTGAAATATGAAGTATCTCAATGCTGTTAGGAATTAAATCTCAATGTCAAATGTAGTATGATTTAAAGATATACATTTGTATATCTTTAAATGTATGATATAAAGATATACAAATGTGAAAATACACACAGCTCCATCCCTGCATCTTGACTCTGCCACACCAATATGTCTCCCATGCCATTACTTTTCTGCTATATAAAAAAAAAAAAAAATTGACAGTTTTGTCAGTTACAAGCTAACTGCAAGAAATTATGACTTAAAAAAGTATCAGTAAAATTCACAATTTTCCCCACTGAAAAGATTGAGTATTTAAATACTGTTAAAACAGTACAACTACATAAAATGAAACAAAATGATATGACATTCTCTCCCCCAAACTGCTGTTTAGAATATGATTAATTTCTTAGTGCAGCACTGCGTAGTATCCTTGAATCTTGATCTGCGTAGTATCAAAGATTTATGCGTACCGTTAATTTTCAAAGTCAAAGATGTTACATTATACTAGTACCAGTAACTGAATATATCTCACGTTACCTGTTCTGGTGAGTCGTTGATGAAATGCTGGCATTTCTTCTACTGACCTTCACAAGTTACATGACGATCAAATACCTTTCGTGATTGAGCATTGCAAATTTTCTGACAACAAATTTAGGTGGGCCACCAGTAACAACTGAAAGGTGGAAATTTTAGGGGAATCCCCTACAAAGATGTCGTCTTGTTTCCGTGGTTAGGTCATGTGACTTAACTTATTTAAACTTACCTCAGCCCCTTCACTCTCGTTTTAATAAAATGGCCCCATTTCAGAGACTCTCAACACTTTTATTCGCCCGAGTGACCCTATCGGGTTGAAAATATATCTGTATCGTACTTCCCTGGATGTTTTTCGTTTCGTCTCTCGAGAAAAGATGGCTAAATGAGTTCCGATACTGTATCGGCTACAATTATTTTGCCCATTTCACACGCTGTTTCCACGTGAAAATAATGGACGATCAAAATAAAACTTTAGAGGCAAAATCGAAAGAGGTAGGGGGCAAATATAAATCAAATTGAGATGTGTAATAGCCAGGGATATTGCGACTAAAAGTCTTTGATTCTGGAGGTGCAAGTTCCTGGATTTTGGTTCTGTAGAACGTTAAATTGTAGTGAAAGTAGGCAAAACCGTGTAGACAGGCTGTCAGGAACTTGCCTCAGTTTTCGGCTTTACAAGCTCACGGTACCCTTACCAGCAGTAAGCAGTAAGGGTACCTTGAGCTTGTAAGGCCGAAAACTGAGGCAAGTCAGGAACCACAGTATAGAAAAAAGTGTAATTAGTACTTTTAAAACTTTCATACATGTTGTTGTATTAACTCAATCAGAGGAAGTCATTGTTTAAAATTCATACATTAAGCCATGTTGTATAAATAGCTTAAGGTAATACTTCACACCTTGCAGGTCAAATTTTAATGTCCTTTGTTTTGAAGCCAGTAATCTGATAGAGCTTGATTACAGGGAGTTCTTAACGGTGACCACCATGTGGACATGGACTTGTGTATGAAGTAACCAATCAGTTTTTAAGTTATGTGATGGACAGTTTAACTTATAAAGTTTAGCATAAAAACCTGTAAACTTAAATCTAGAGAGGAGGAGTAAGATGTGGAATAGAGACTGGATAGAAGAGATAGGGGAGGAGAGAGAGGTCATGCTTGTACCATGTAACTTTTAGTGTAGTAATTTAAGGGGCCCGCACACGATGAGCATTTGGCGCGCGCCACTTGCGCTGAGCCGTTTTCTCATTGTGTGCGGGGCTATTTTGGTGAGATTTTTGCCTCGCGCGCGGCTGAGCAAAATATCTCACGTGTTTGATATTTTTGGTCTCTTGAGGCAAATGTCTCAGCGTGTGCGGGGTGCAAGCGCCGATTGCTCACGCCATTTTAACAATGCGCATGTGCCAGTAGCCGGAAACAAAGCAAAATGGCAGCCTCCAGCGAAGTAAACAAAAGTGTACACAGTTATAGTTAGTCTGATTGATTAACGTGGTTACCATTTGCCATTACTTTCAGAAAAAAAATAAATATGTAATGTTTCCTTAATCACATGATCCCACAGTTCACGGTGCGTCCGATAGGGGCAGGCCGGGAGGCATCTCTGCTGAGCAAAGAGCGCATCGTTTGCGGGGAGCTGAGGAGCGCGAGCATCTGGCGCAGCGCAAGTGGCGTGCGCCAAATGCTCACCATGTGCGGGCCCCTTAAAATATATTCTGTTGAAGTTACAACATGGAGTCGTTTCATTCCATTCTGTGTGCAGAATTTAAGACATGGAACCTGGGAATCTATGTTGCAGTATTACAGATAGCGTTATCCAAAGATGTAAGCCCATTGAGTCCAAACCCCTAGGGTTATATCATAAAAAGTTATTTACTGTAATGTGGGGGCCCCGGGATGGTCTTAAGGGGGTTCCGCATCTCCTCATATAAATTACTACTACTCGTGAGAATGAATGAAAATCAGCCACAGCATGTTGCATCACTGCGGATTTTTATTTATTTATTTATTTATTTATTTATTTATTTATTTATTTATTTATTTATTCACTAATTTTCATCATTTTAAATATTTTATTCAGGAGTTAGTTTCGCAGATTCAACAACTGCAAGCCCATGTGACGCAGCTGAAGAACATCATTGCCAGGGACCGCGCTGAGGGGAAAGCCAAGGAGAGGAGGAAGCAACAGAGACCATTTGACTTCACAAAGTATGTGCTTTTAAAGGCCCGCAGTCAGAGCCTCAGTTTTAAGCCTTTTGAGCTATGTAGGTAGGGTGTCCCTAAATTGTGCAATACTGTGCAGCACAGTGCAATTTAGGGACATCGCAAAACACTTGAAAAAACAAGCTCAGTTGCAAATTAACATGGGAAAAGGTCATTTCAAACAAAATAGCATGATAGAAAAATAATTAATATTGTTGGTACAAGCAGCACAAATAGTTATTCCCTTCTAGTTGTTACCCAGATTCAGCACATTATTGAACATTGAGTCCATTTGATGTTCAATTTCTTTCCAGGTACAACACTAGGCATGTGGCACTGAAGATCGCCTATCTTGGCTGGGACTATCATGGGTTTGCTGTACAGGAAGACACAGACAAGACAATAGAGGCAGCACTGTTTGATGCCCTCATCAAGACAAGACTAATTGAATCTAGGTGAGATGAAAGTATATAGTATAAATATTTCACTCCTCAGTGTGATACAATAGTTTGCATATTAGTTTTAAAAGGATAATGGTAATAAGTAAATAACACTGAGGAGCGATGCAGTTTTCTGTGGTGTTTAAACAGTTATAATGGCATTTCAGGGCCACCTCTTGTTATCACAGATGTGGGAGAACAGACAAGGGTGTCAGTGCTCTGGGACAGGTGAGGATAGTATGTTATTGTATGATGTGACCTTTTCAGAACCACTCATTACTCATGCCACTTTGGTAGAACTAAAGGAGGGGAGGTTGGGGAATGGATTTTTGTGTGGGAGGGGGTAAGGATTTTTTGAGGGGGTTACAAGATTTTCTGGGGGGGTTGAAATGGCATATGTATAAGGATCATGCCTTTATGGTCATATAGTAATTTTTCCCTCTGAAACAATTTTCCCATTATAATTATTTTCATGTCATCTTCAAAACAGAAAGAGTGAAAAATAAACAGTTGCTGATAATGTTAAATGCTTTGTTACAGGTGATATCAATAGATCTGAGGACAAACTTATTGGAAGGTGTAGGGGTGAAGGTCAGGGAAAATGGAACTGCGCACCTACGGCCAGGTGAAATGTTTTCTGCAATACTTACACTAACTAATGTGTGTTAATGTTTGCTTAGTTTCCAAGTTAAACTTCTACTCTTCTGGTTATTAAAGAATTGTATATAAGAGTACCCCGGGTACTAGTTATCCCAGTATTATAAATTTGGATTGAAATAATTTTTGAAATTTTCTGCTCATTTTATTTTACATTGATATTTATGATTTCGCATTTCTGTTTATAGTCTGTATGTATTGCCAGCTTTGCTGTAAAGTTCATCTCTGCATTCTATCACACTGTTTGTAGGAGACAAGGTCACTGAGATTCGCTATGTTCATATTCTTAACAAAGTCCTTCCCCCGGAGCTGAGGGTGCTAGCATGGACGCCTGTAGATCCTGAGTTCAGTGCAAGGTATGTCACACCTAACACATTCTCTTGTGCAGCACACCTAACACATTCTTGTCCACACCTTATATACTTATGTATAGCACACTTTAAATAATTTAACATTCATTATGTGGAAAAGCAACAAATAGGCCATTTCAGGGCCAAAAATATGTTTGAATTCTGCTGGTCTGAAATGATATATTGTAGCATGAATCACACAAATGGCCAATACACTGGTTTTAGTCACTTTCCCTGGTCTCCTTAGCAACAAATCCCTTTTTTCTAGATATCAGTCTTCAAAGGAAAAAATATGTAATTTACACTGTGCTTGTATTCATACCTTTAACGCTTCATTTTAAAATAATTTGCCAGAAGAACAATATACATATATATATTCTACAGATATTTTGGTATCAGCTGTACATGAATTTGCTTTAAGGATGCATTAATTTATTAATATATATATATATATATATATATATATATATATATATATATATATATATATATATATATATATATATATATATATATATATATATATATATATATATAGTATATAGCTAAGCACTTGCTTTGGTTAATCATACTAAACACTTGGAGCTGATCTGTTACTGTGTCCTGTTTATTCAACTAGGTTCAGTTGTTTACAAAGGATGTACAAGTATATGTTTCCTAGAGGAGATGCTGATATCCAGGTGAGGGTCATTGTCTTTATTTCTATCTGTTTACGTATGCACAGTGTGAAGTTAACTCTGGTCCCACACCATATACAGAAATACAGAGGCCGCCAGCCTATTAAAGTTCAGTGAGTCTGTTCAGTCACTCGCCATAGTAGTTTCATAATTCATAGACCCTGGTGGCCTGAAAGGCTTCTAGGGTAAAAAAGGTTTTGGCTAAAATGTACTGAGAAGTATACATGTTCTATAAATGTTAGACTTTCAGATTGTCTTTAGAAAAGTAGGATATCTTCCTAAAATTGACATCTAAAGATATCAATATTGTGATGAAGTATTAAATGGTTAACTATTTCAAACTGTTTTTTTAATATTTCTTTCTTTCTTTCTTTCTTTCTTTCTTTCTTAACCTTGTTTCTTTATTTGTATTAACCTTTATTTATTTTAATCATCAGCTAATGAATGAGGCCGCTGGTAAATTGATAGGTGAACATGACTATCGTAACCTGTGTAAAATGGATGTGGGCAATGGCGTGGTGAATTACATCAGGAGAATAATATCTACACAGGTGAAACCACTTGATAGCAGGTGAGGCAATTTATTATTATTGTTATTGTTACAACAACAGCAACAAGTTTTCTATTCTTTTTTCCATTCTGTTGCTCACTGTTGTATTGTTAATGATATTTTATGCTGTTCTAATGTAATAACTGAACATTGCACTGGGATTATAACATTTTGTATTGTTACTGTAACTGAAATGTTGTTCTGTTGCAATGTAATTTCTAAACATTGCACCGACACTGTTTGATTACAGGCTGGATGGCTATCAGATGTGTGAACTAACTGTGGTAGGACAGGCATTTTTATGGCATCAAATCAGGTGTATTGTAGCTGTTCTATTACTGATAGGACAAGGCAAGGAGAGAGTTGAGGTACGATATTCAGTATCCATATTTGAACAGAATCGATTACTTTTCGATATATTTCTCTTAGCAATGCTGTTATTTTTGCTTTATACCTATAGTAATTAAAATGTGCAATTTTTAAATGTTCTGAGTTTGATATTTGTGAGTTGTAAAAGATGTTATAGATGGAACCACTGGAATGAATCTTTTTTTGCGTGTGCGCGTGTGTGTGTCATGGCTGTCTGTCTGTCCCTGCGTGTGTGTTTGTACCTGTGTGCCTTTTTGCATGTGTGTGTGTGTGTTTGTGTGTGTGCCTGCATGCATACCTGAATTAGTGTATCTGTTCCTCACTGTCCTTCACATTTGTAGAGCCCTTGTTTTCTTTCATAGATCATAGATGAATTACTGGATGTGGAGAGAAATCCAAGAAAGCCCCAGTATACGATGGCCTCGGGTAAGACGTGATAGATCCGTCATTGGACAGGGAAGTGTATATGGTGAATTGAGTACAGAACAACCCCTAAAAATGTTTGTCTCATTTAACGCTCACTTACGGTTCTCAATCTATTCTACAACATTCGGTCTATTTTTTTTCAGTTCTAATGTTGTCCTGAAATGATTGAAACTGATTGAGAACTGTTTTGGGGAAGTCCATCAAAATGTCTTAGGACAGATTAAGAAAATTTTTCATTAAAAGAGAAAAACATTATGTTCTAGGACAGATTGAGAGAGAGCTGTCCAGCTTTCATTTGGATGGCCATTAGCCTCAAAAGAGGGCCTATATTACAAAAGACGACTAGACGGCTTACAAATTTTTTTGGTTAGTAAAAATAAAATATATGACCTTATTTAATTTCTTCTTTCAGAAATTCCACTTATCCTGTATGACTGTGATTACGAAGGATTAAACTGGCATTACGAGACAGGTGAGGACACAGGATGGTTGGCTTTAATTGTGCTATGTATATTAAAACCAAAACACTCTGTGATATTAAAGATAAACAGTATATATTTGAACATGTCCCCAAGTCATAATTTCTATTACACATCCTTCAAAGCTATATGTGTACTTATTCCTCCCATTCCAGACGGTCACCTTAAAACAAACAATTCACCTCTAATAAAGTACCTGAGGTTGATTTTTTTTTTTTTTTTTTTTGGGGGGGGGGGGGGGTAAATTAGACACAAAAATTATAAGAAGGATTAAATTAAAAGAATTATGAAAGAAGTGAAAAAAATATAATTCAGCAGCATGTATTTGAATTGACTCAGAGCTTTTATTTATTTGGGATAACATGTACAAGTAAGTTGCATTGTATGCTGATTATTCTCATACTGTGAGTAAATTAGATTCCTTTTATTTCCTAAAACAATGTTTTGCATGTAGTGACAAACAAAGGTGATTGTAAGTTTTTGAAGCATGAAGGGGTGACATGTCAAAGAGACTGCATTTGAGAGTAATTGTAAATGATGAATTATGAAAATAAATTGATAATCCAGAAAAATTAGATGCTTGGTATTGTGAGCAATAAGTCAAGTACAACATGTTGGGTGAAGATGTCAGGAAGATCATGACACTTATCATCTTTTTGTTTTCTTTCTCAGATTGTCATGAAGAAACCATAAAACATCTGCAAACACTTTGGACTGAGCAGACTGTTAAGTTAGTATAGAACCAGTGTGGATTGTATTATAGATTAAGTTACTCTATGGAAAAAAGTAGAGCAGTTGAGCTTTCCAAGGGGGAAATGCAATGTCATCAATTAGACTAAATATTTAATAATAACATTACTTGCATATGTAGCTAGTAATGAGTTTTGAAACTGTCATAGATTAATTTTGTTATTGTTAGACCAAGTTTTGATTGGGTTCACATATTTCGAAGTACATTACTGACATGTTTTTAAAAAGATATAACTTATTCACTTCAAGCCTCTAGGTACACAGCATATTCAGACAAATTACCACTGAATCATTAGTAAACACATAAATAATTAGAATACCAAAAAATTGTCTTTCTTGTCTTTATCCTTTTATTTCAAAAGTCTGGTATTTTTATTGAATAACATTTCTGATTTCTTTGTATTCCTGAGGTCCACAATGTTAAAAAGAATGCTAGACTACCTTGAAAAAGTAAAAATAACAGAATCACAACCAGATGGCACTGTCAGGGAGCAACCATGGCAACAGTACAAGACAGTCCAGCACCAATGCTCTAGTCTCGTACCTGGGAATAAACCCCGTACATATAAACCTTTGCTAGAGAGAGAAGTGTGTGGTAAGTTTGACCCACTCCTCTGACATATAAAAATTTATTTGAATTTTTCTTTTGAAGTAACAAATTGGCTGCCCCTAGTGTAGGGGCACATGCTGTTATAAATGAAAAATCTCTGTCAGTCTTTTGATACTTGAGGAGTACATGTATTCTCATATTTACATTGAAAATATGAATCTTTAACTCGTTTGAGAAAATAAGCCTTTCAAGAAAAAATTTAAGATTATTAAAGAATTGAATAACTGAATGAATTGTCAAAATTTGATTCTCACAAACAGCTTATATGATAAATACATTTGCAGTAATAATGACAATGTAGTATAGTCAATGATTATGATTCTTTGGGCATAACTAAAAACAATTCATTTTATACCCCTTTTGGCTGAATAGAAATAGCAAAATAAATATCTATTTGTTACTGTTTTTGCTTTGTAGAGAGTTTGGAGGACCGAATCAATCATTATGTGAAGAGGAGGAAAATAGAAATAAAAACTCTCCCAGCAGAGATGGGGACAGAAGAAAGTGAAGACAGCTAGTCAAAGTGGAGAACCCAGGGAGTTTGTTTGAGACAAACCCAGGGAGTTTGTTTGAGACAATTTTTATGTTCTAAGAAATAATCAAAAGTAATGACAATGCCAGTAATTTAAAAACAGAAAACAATTACTTTAATTTTCCACAATACTGCAGTTGGAGAAGATTTAGATCCTTAAGCTGGGGTATTTTCTGTCAATGCTTCTATGTATTGGTGCTTTTCGTTCTATCTAGGTAGTGTTTTTTCTTCAAGCAGTGAAAATTTTCCAGAAATGTCAAGCACCGTGAAGCACATTTTAAGTTTTATTTTTCAGTAAAGCACTATTAGAATTTGTAAAAAATTATCAATTTAACTGGGAATATTATTAAAGAGAAATCAACCAGTAAACAACTGAGTAAGACAATATATAAGATCATTTTACTTAAGGCTACAAAATTTCTTATACAAATTGTTATTTTAACTACAAGTTACTCAGTAATGATTTTACAAAATGTTAATATTGAAAGACAGAGGTTTTGTTCAGTGACTTTTAGTGAGAACCATTTAACTTAAGGAAACAAATTTTACCGGAACCCCCTCCCCCAATACCATGCACCTTTATTTAATCCCCCTCTATTACTAATTTCTATGCCTCAGTGACTTTAACATTAGTCTGCTTTACCTAAGCTTTAAAAGCAAGAATAAAAATTTTGACTTTCTAGAACCTTTTCAAGCCCATATTGAATACAGACTGATACATGAAATATCGCTAATGACTTTGAAGTACATTTTTAAGTGCATTAAAATAGCATTTGGGTTTATATCAAAGTGATTAAATATAAGATTTAATATATAAGTGTGTGGTTTTTTACGTCCTACAATGCTATGTATAAAATATCACAATATCTTTGAATGCGGAATGTTTTATATCATTAAAACAGAAATATCTCAATTACTTGAATAATATTAAAATATGATAAATAATTTTCTAGAGTCTACATGAAGGTAACAGAAATATACTGTATCTAGATAGCATATCACATAATATCAGTAATGAAACAGCTATTTCAAAACAGGGATAATATCAATATGTACTACATTTAAAAAAGCCATGTACAAAAATATACTTTGGGCTGACAAGTCATATCAACAAACTTTACTAATGATTGCATAACAAGTTTTAATACATTGGTCTGAGGTATTTCTGTGAGTCGTATCTACTTGTCCTGTCTTGGCTGCTTGGTCTGAAGGACCGTTGAGGGGGCCAGTCAGCGAATGCAGCATAATCAACATACTCGTAATATGGTGTGTCCTTGGCCCTGAACAGTGATCTCTGACGATTAAACTCCCTTGCATTATGCTTATCGCGAGCAGATGACCGTTTACTGCTTCCACCATGATGGAAAACATCAGGCAACCCAGGTACTGCTATAGAGCGTATGGAACGTCCATAGCTTCCGTTAGACATGTAGGGATTGTGGGCTGTGGCCAGATATGGATCTGGGACTGCCGTATGGCTGATATACTGGCGTACCACATCGGAGTTACTCACTGTGGAACTGCTGTAGGTACGACGTCTTTTGTGTTTCTTTGTATCTGTTGAACGTCTCTTTAAAATACAGCAGACAATTGCAGTGATGACAATCAAAACGATTAGAAGACCGATCATGATTGATAAAATTATCACCATTTCCTCCCAGTCTGTGGACAGTTGATTTTCACAGCGACTCCCGCTAAAATTAACGGGGCAGTTACACATGGCGAGGCCGTCGCTCGATTCCATGCACACTCCTCCATTTAAGCACAAGTCTGTCCGACAGACTTGGCCGCAGGCTCGTCCAGGGAAGAACCCAACATTTGCTGAGTTGTCCCTGTAATTGATGTTACACTGGCATGTATAGCCACCATCCAGGTTGGTACACTGGGCGTAGAGTGAACAGTCATTAGTATCAGTAGAGTTACACTCATCGAAATCGGTGACAGTAACCGTGTCGACAGTAACATTAGGGCTGTTCTGCAAACCTTGGGTGAGGGTTTCCTGTACTTGGGTGGTATTCACCACTGGCTCAGTCTGGTTGTCAAAGGTGAGCTGTACGTCTGCTATGATACTCCCTAATATAAACCTCCTTACTCTACAACGCACTTTGGCTTCGAAGGGGGTCCCCCTGTAACTCCTCACAATAACCTGACACACGGTCAGCTCCAGTTGTATGAAGGTTGGGCTGGTTGGGGTTTCCAATTCTGGGCTAAAAATAGCAGGCTGGCTGTTAAGGGCCGTGATACGCACCCGCGCAAACACATACACTCTGGTGGTGACTAGCGCCCTGGCTGTGGTGGTGGTTGTCAAGCTTGTGGTCGTTGAGGGTGCCACAGTGGTGGTTTTCAGTGTTGTTTGTGATGTAGTGGTTGGAGCTGCAGTGGTCTCTGTGGTTGTGATTGGTGCTGCTGGTGTTGTCTCTGTTGTAGTGGTTGGAGCTGCTGTGGTTGTGGTTGGTGCTGTTGTGGTTGTAATTGGAGCTACTGTGGTAGTGGTTGTAGTTGGAGCTGCAACCACTACCACAGTNGTTGTGGTCGTGGTTGGAGCTGCTGTGGTTGTGATTGGAGCTGCTGTGGTTGTGGTTGGAGCTGCTGTGGTTGTAGTTGGAGCTGCTGTGGTTGTGGTTCTAGCTGCTGTGGTTGGAGCTGCTGTGGTTGGTGACACTGTTGTTGCTGAAAAAATTAAGAAAGGTAATGTATACGAAAGGTAATATCATAACATGTAACTTGTGATGCTTAATTCAAGCTAAGAGCATTGCTAGGGAAGGTTTGGGCATGTGAGATAAGCAGAGAATCAGCCAACTACTCAGATGGGGGGGGGGGCACTGACCCATGTCAATGTGGCATTATACACACGTTGACAAACCATACAAAAGAAAATGACCGGATGAAAACCTCAACTGAACAAAAACTTTCTGTGAAAATTAGGAAAGTTTATTTTTTCGCACTCTGCCCATTGTGTTATGATTTCAGCATATTCTATTCTAAATAAATGGTTTGTGTGAAAAAAACATGAAACTTCTCAGTGTATGTATGACAAATAATACACCACTTCCACTCTTTCCCACTATGTGCGACAACATCCTAAACAAGTTTGGCTTCCTTTTGCAAAAAGTGTAAAGTGATAATATTGTTCTGTGGGCTGTGCATTATTTAGTAAACAGTGTGTGTGTGTGTATGTAGTGTGTGTATGTGCTGAGAGAGATATTTCCTTACCTGGAGGACTAGAACATGTCACCCCACAAGCTTTTGGACACCATGCATATTTGACCAAAGTTCCAGTTCCAGTGGCAGTAACATCACACTGGTTGTTTGCAGCCCAAGAAGCACATTGTGAAGGATAGACATCCTCTCCATTGTTGCCCAAAGCACTGCAGTTCACTGAGACAGAAATGGTAATTGTGAATAAAAAATGGATAAAATTGAAATCAATATCATTATAATATGACTAAATATACAGTTAATATCTGAAGAAAAATCAGTTTAAGGAACAGAAAACTCCTTAAAATTTGTTTCTTTGCTGTGGAATTGAATGGCACTGGCAATTTCATGTAAACTAATTGCATCATTCTGTTTAATTATTATATAGTTGTTGGTGTAACATTTGTATATTTTGTGTGTTTATTGTTAATGTGAGGAAACATTTCTATACCTGACATATTAAATTACTCACGGTATTGACATGTAGGGCCATAGAAGATGTTTCCGCATTCACAGGAGCACGTGTCAAAATCATATCTGCCGGAATTTTGACACTCTAATATACTACTGCAGGAGGCTGAAAAATACAATTGTCATGTGATAAAATGCCGGAATGGCATTTCTTTTAATAAAGGGAATTCAAACTTTTTTGATAATTAGTGTGTGATGCATTAAAAAAAAACTGAAGCAATCTTTTAATCTTGCACTTACTCTCGGTACACTTTCATAACAAATGCTAAAGATTACTTGGGTCTGACCACTTATTATTACTTCTATGAAATCTAATTACTAAGTGTAATATTTCAATATTTTGTCCAATATTTCAATGTGAAAATAATATTCTCAACCTACCACAGTTAAGAGATGTGTTTTGCATGCACTCATATTGTGTTACTGAAAAACAAATATAAGGGATGCTCTTTTTAGATATATTTTTATGGAAGGAATTATGCATGTACCTTCATGAGTATATAATGAGTTCAGTTATTTAAGTATTAATAAGGGGAGAAACATAGTTTTTCTTTTAAACATTTAATTTATCCATTTATATCATCTTACCTAACATCATATAGATTAACAAAGATATACCCTTCAATAAAGTACCTTGGTATATTATACCTTCTGGATTTCAGACAAATCATAAAAATAATAATTTTAATAATATGCCTATTAAACATCAATGTTTGCACTTATCAGCATTTTGATATTCATATTGATTGTATTATATACATACCACACAAACCATCAGCACATATTTCTTTGTTATATTTGTCAGTCAAACACCCACTGCAGGCTGTTCCCAAGTCATATGGATGCTGGCCGCCATAATTTCCTCTAAAATTAAGAGATATATTATTAATAAATAAAATAAAGTAAACCTTGTGGCACCTAAATTCAAAGGAATGAGATAAGCTTGTAAAACTTCAGTGAGATTTGAAGGTTCAAATACAGTGTAGATACCACATTATTTCATGAATAAAGGTATCCTTAAATTCAATATCTTTAAAAAATGAGGGTATCGAGAAGATGGTTTTCAGCAAACTCTAACAAGCAGGGTTTTAAATTAAAGTGGTTGCAGGTTATGGAGCAAATGTTTAATGTATAATTATGTATAGTTTTTGAATCATAGTGCCTGCAGGCTATATAGAACAAATGTTACAATATATAATTATTTATACTTAACACACGGCTGTGAATTGTCACTTACGGTTCATAATAGTCACAAGTCACTTGGTATTTGTAGACACTCAAAGGACAGTAGGCAATAGCACAGCCAAGTCTGTAGCTGGTGTCCCATACAACCTGGAAATGGATACATCAACAAAATATCAAAATATCATGAAAGTTGTATAATGTGCCACATTGTTAATTTTATTTTAACTATTTTTGATGAGCAGCATATTTGTTATTATTATTATTATTATTATTTTTGTTGTTGTTGTTGTTGTTATTGCAAAAAGAAGTAAGGTTTTTATGTCAAGAAATGCATGCTGATTGATAGCAGTCCACACAAACTCTCCGAAACTCAGGCCGTGTGAAATCAAATCCCTGTCTCTCAATTAAATATATTTACCTGTGTGTAATGGCCGCAGACATAAGAACAACTTCTGGAGGAATAAGTATAGTAAGACACTTCACTGTGCCAGGCATCCACTATCTGTTGAACAGTGGGCTTGGCAGAGTATGCATACAGATTCTGGCCCAGAGATTTCCCTTCAAATATCGTCCCAGTTTTGTTTGGGTTTCCGTGTGCGTTTGCACAGGTGTTTGCCCATGGGGCGCTCATAAGTCTGGCCAACTCTGGATCCCATACCTGAGGAGGACAGTTTGGAGATTTGATAGATTTTCTTGATTCAAGCAATTGTTTTCTTTTCATCATCTTCTTTTTCTCTTTCTTTTTCTACCAGATTTGTACTCGTAAAGCCACTCTTTTGTGCAGAAATGTGTAATCTCTTTTCATTAAATATTTGAATCTCTAAATCATAATACAATTTGGCCCCTACTGTTAAGTATAGTTATTGCCTGAATATCTGTTTAAAACATTAATTTAACCATTAAAAATCTGTGGGAAAGTATTAAGTAACCAACACAATTAGACAGAAACAAAAAGTGAGTTTAAAACTTTTTCCCCATGTCTAGCAATAAAAATCCCAACCTACCATGGACCTCATGTTGGCTGCAGGGCCAGGATTTACATTCTTCCTGTAGTAATTGTGCAAGGCAACCAATTCTGCTATCTCTGCATCCGTGAAACCAGTCACAGAAGATGGGGTGGGACCCTCTGAGGTTGTCATGGCAACAGTGGTTGTAGTTGTAGGTGCAAGAGTTGTAGTTGTTGCCGTGCTCATACTTGTCGAAGCTGTACTTGAGGTTGTTGCTGAAGATGGAATGGTAGTGCTGGTTGTTTCAACTGAAAAGAAACAAGTGTTGTTTGCTTTGATTGCAAGTTCAAATAAAAACAATTTTGTGCATGATCAATGGAAAAGAGATACATGAAATAACAGAACATGGGATACTACATGTGAGAGAGATTGAGAGTATAGGGAATGGAGACTGTGAGAGAGATTTGTTCTTACCTGGAGGACTAGAACATGTCACCCCACAAGCTTTAGGACACCATGCATATTTGACCAAAGTTCCAGTTCCAGTGGCAGTAAAATCACACTGGTTGTTTGCAGCCCAAGTAGCACATTGTGAAGGATAGACATCCTCTCCATTGTTGCCCAAAGCACTGCAGTTCACTGAGACAGAAATGGTAATTTTCAATAGAATGGATAAAATTTTAATCAATACCATAATGATATGACCACATTAGCAGTTTAAATCTGAAGAAAAATCAGTTCTGTTCCTATGCCGTGGAAATGAAATGCAATGGCAATTTAATGGAAACTAATTGCTTCATTCTGTTTAATAGTTGTTGTTGGTGTAACATTTGTAGTTTGTTTGTGGTTATTGTAAATGTGAGGAAATATTTCTAAATCTGATATAAATTACTCACAGTATTGACATGTAGGGCCATAGAAGAGGTTTGCACATTCACAAGAGCACGTGTCATAATCATATCTGCCAGAATTTTGACACTCTAATATACTACTGCAGGAGGCTGAAAAATGCAATTGTCATGTGATAAAATGCGGGAATGGCATTTCTTTTAATAAAGGGAATTAAAACTTTTTTGACAATTAGTGTGTGATGCATTAAAAAAAAAAACTGAAGCAATCTTTTAATCTTGCACTTACTCTAGGCACACTTTCATAGATTACTTGGTTCTGACCACTTATTATTACTTCTATGATATCTAATTACTAAGTGTAATATATCAATATTTTGTCCAAAATTTCAATGTGAAAATAATATTCTCAACCTACCACAGTTAAGAGATGTGTTTTGCATGCACTCATATTGTGTTACTGAAAAACAAATATAAGGGATGCTCTTTTTAGATATATTTTTATGGAAGGAATTATGCATGTACCTTCATGAGTATATAATGAGTTCAGTTATTTAAGTATTAATAAGGGGAGAAACATAGTTTTTCTTTTAAACATTTAATTTATCCATTTATATCATCTTACCTAACATCATATAGACTAACAAAGATATACCCTTCAATAAAGTACCTTGGTATATTATACCTTCTGGATTTCAGACAAATCATAAAAATAATAATTTTAATAATATGCCTATTAAACATCAATGTTTGCACTTCTCAGCATTTTGATATTCATATTGATTGTATTATATACATACCACACAAACCATCAGCACATATTTCTTTGTTATATTTGTCAGTCAAACACCCACTGCAGGCTGTTCCCAAGTCATATGGATGCTGGCCGCCATAATTTCCTCTAAAATTAAGAGATATATTATTAATAAATAAAATAAAGTAAACCTTGTGGCACCTAAATTCAAAGGAATGAGATAAGCTTGTAAAACTTCAGTGAGATTTGAAGGTTCAAATACAGTGTAGATACCACATTATTTTATGAATAAAGGTATCCTTAAATTTAATATCTTTAAAAAATGAGGGTATCGAGAAGATGGTTTTCAGCAAACTCTAACAAGCAGGGTTTTAAATTAAAGTGGTTGCAGGTTATGGAGCAAATGTTTAATGTATAATTATGTATAGTTTAGACATGGCTGTGAATTGTCACTTACGGTTCATAATAGTCACAAGTCACTTGGTATTTGTAGACACTCAAAGGACAGTAGGCAATAGCACAGCCAAGTCTGTAGCTGGTGTCCCATACAACCTGGAAATGGATACATCAACAAAATATCAAAATATCATGAAAGTTGTATAATGTGCCACATTGTTAATTTTATTTTAACTATTTTTGATGAGCAGCATATTTGTTATTATTATTATTATTATTTTTGTTGTTGTTGTTGTTGTTATTGCAAAAAGAAGTAAGGTTTTTATGTCAAGAAATACCTGCTGATTGATAGCAGTCCACACAAACTCTGAAACTCAGGGCATGTGAAACCCCAACCGAATACCTGTGTCTCTCAATGAAGCACATATATTTACCTGTGTGTAATGGCCGCAGACATAAGAACAACTTCTAGAGGAATAAGTATAGTAAGACACTTCACTGTGCCAGGCATCCACTATCTGTTGAACAGTGGGCTTGGCAGAGTATGCATACAGATTCTGGCCCAGAGATTTCCCTTCAAATATTGTCCCAGTTTTGTTTGGGTTTCCGTGTGCGTTTGCACAGGTGTTTGCCCATGGGGCGCTCATAAGTCTGGCCAACTCTGGATCCCATACCTGAGGAGGACAGTTTGGAGATTTGATAGATTTTCTTGATTCACGCAATTGTTTTCTTTTCATCATCTTCTTTTTCTCTTTCTTTTTCTACCAGATTTGTACACGTAAAGCCACTCTTTTGTGCAGAAATGTGTAATCTCTTTTCATTAAATATTTGAATCTCTAAATCATAATACAATTTGGCACCTACTGTTAAGTATAGTTATTGCCTGATTATCTGTTTAAAACATTAATTTAACCATTAAAAATCTGTGGGAAAGTATAAAGTAACCAACACAATTAGACAGAAACAAAAAGTGAGTTTAAAACTTTTTCCCCATGTCTAGCAATAAAAATCCCAACCTACCATGGACCTCATGTTGGCTGCGGNGAATAAAGGTATCCTTAAATTTAACATCTTAAAAAAATGAGGGTATCGAGAAGATGGTTTCCAGCAAACTCTAACAAGCAGGGATTTAAATCAAAGTGCTTGCAGGTTATAGAGCAAATGTTTAATGTATAATTATGTATAGTTAGACATGGCTGTGAATTGTCACTTACGGTTCATAATAGTCACAAGTCACTTGGTATTTGTAGACACTCAAAGGACAGTAGGCAATAGCACAGCCAAGTCTGTAACTGGTGTCCCATACAACCTGGAAATAGATACAGCAACAAAATATCATGAAAGTGATATAATGTGCCATATAGTTTATCTCACTTCGATTATTTTTTGATGAGCAACATATTTGTTTTTTTTTCCTTTTTTATTCTTTTTTTGTTATTGCAAAGAGAAGTTAAGTTTTATGTCAAGAAATACATGCTGATTGATAGCAGTTTCCCCAAACTCTCTGAAACTCAGGGCATGTGAAACCCAAACCAAATACCCGTGTCTCTCAATGAAGCACATATATTTACCTGTGTGTAATGGCCGCAGACATAAGAACAACTTCTAGAGGAATAAGTATAGTAAGACACTTCACTGTGCCAGGCATCCACTATCTGTTGAACAGTGGGCTTGGCAGAGTATGCATACAGATTCTGGCCCAGAGATTTCCCTTCAAATATTGTCCCAGTTTTGTTTGGGTTTCCGTGTGCGTTTGCACAGGTGTTTGCCCATGGGGCGCTCATAAGTCTGGCCAACTCTGGATCCCATACCTGAGGAGGACAGTTTGGAGATTTGATAGATTTTCTTGATTAAAATTTTATGAAATCGTTTTCTTTTCATCACCTGCTCTCTCTCTCTCTCTCTCTCTCTCTCTCTCTCTCTCTCTCTCTCTCTCTCTCTCTCTCTCTCTCTCATATATTGCTTAAGTCTCAGAAAGTTTTCCTCAAAATTGTGTAATCTCCTTTCATTTAATGTTTTAATCATTATAATTTAAATAATAAAATTACAATATTTATTATATAATTACAATTTGGCTCCTACTGGTTACAGTATATTTATTGCCAACACCTATTTTGAACAATAATTTAACTTGGAAAACTTAAAATAAAAATGTATAAAAGAACTGTGGGGAGATACAAGTATCCATCACAGTCAAAAACATAAAGTGAGTTTTAAACTTTTTCTACATGTCTAGCAATAAAAATCCCAACCTACCATGGACCTCATGTTGGCTGCGGGGCCAGGATTTACATTCTTCCTGTAGTAATTGTGCAAGGCAACCAATTCTGCTATCTCTGCATCCGTGAAACCAGTCACAGAAGATGGGGTGGTACTATCTGGTGTTGTCATGGAAACTGTTGGAGTGACTGTTGTGGATACGGTTGGTGATGTTGTTGTTGTTGTCACAGTTGCTGCCTGTGTTGTTCCTGTCACTGTCGAGGATGATACTGTAACAGTTGTAACTGCTGCAGTGGTTGTTGCGGATTCAGTAGTTGTTGTTGGGAATGTTATACCTAGTTCTGGAGCACAAGTCCAACAACAAGATGCCCTGTTAGCTTCGAATGCGCAGACATTTCTCGCGCACCAGGATTCCCTGTCTCCATACTTACATTCTGAGGAAGATGATAAAATAGATATTTAAAAAATATATAAAGACACTGGAGGAGGGGCATTTTAGCTATGTTTAACAATTACTTGCTAGTTCTGGCCCCAGTTTCACAAAAAAAAAAAAACTTAAGTCAGTTCCCTGGCAAAGCTGACAAGGATTTCCATGAGAGTGCTGTTACACTGCTCCTGATAGGGTAAGATGTACTCATGTGACCATGTAACCTTGGTAATATTGTTCTTAGCCAGGGAACCTGACTTAAGTTTTTATTTGTGAAACCAGGGCCTGTTCTGGCAGTGAGGGGAGGCCTGGCCAACCTTGAATATAAAGTGAGTCCTACTGGTCCTGTACCTGTTCAATTAAGCTGTACTTACAGATATTCTATATGCTGATCAGAAATAGTATGATTGATGAAGATGGTGTCTGCACATTAAAACAAGAACATTCAAGTACCACTGGATGAAATATGGGATAACCAACTTTCAATTTGCATCTTATTCCATCCACCCAATGAGCTATATATATATATATATATATATATATATATATATATATATCGCCCATATAGAGAGAGAGAGAGAGAGAGAGAGAGAGAGAGAGAGAGAGAGAGAGAGATCTACCAAACATTCTAATTTCATAATTAGTCAATTAATTCTGATAATTTGAATTTTAATCATTGATGTAATGTATTTATGTAGTGTACCTGGGTTTCCTGTGTAAAATTGTCTGCAGTGGTTACAGCAGGTAATGTCATTAGGATAACATTGAGCAGCTGTCAGTGTTGAGCACGCTGATGCCCTATCTCCATATTCACATCCTGATAATAATAATAATAATAATAATAATAATAATAATAATAATAATAATTAGTATTATTATTACAACAACAACACTACGTACCTAGAAGAACGTGTATATTCAGACAAAATAATATTTGTTTAGATGAAACAGCCTAATTGTAACAGCCATTTGATTTTGATTTCTAAATCACTGCAAGCATGTTCAACAGTGTACAATGCGTCAGACATGAGAAGCAGCTAGTACCTACCAGATATACCAGTATATGCCTGCTGGCATGTCTTACAGCTTTTACCTACCAGATATACCGGTATATGCCTCCTGGCATGTCTTACAGCTAGTATACAGAAATACTGGTATATATGCCTCCTGTCATGTCTTACAGCTAGCTATAGTACGTACCTACCAGATATACCGGTATATGCGCCTCCTGGCATGTATTACAGCTAGGTACCTACCAGATATACCGGTATATGCCTCCTGGCATGTCTTACAGCTAGTACCTACCAGATATACCGGTATATGCCTGCTGGCATGTCTTACAGCTAGTACCTACCTGATATACCGGTATATGCCTCCTGGCATGTTTTACAGCAGGTGGAGTTGACCCAGCTGAACGAGTAACATATTCCATTGCTTAGTAAACTCTGGCAGTTGCCTTGCCTGTCTCCATACTCACAACCTGAGAAATAATAGAAATAACTGTCATGCTGTTGTTCAGATAAAGATTTCATTAGGGTTCATTTGCTGGATTGTATGGGATTTAATGTTCATTCTTATTTTGATTGAAATAACAAGCAGGTGAATCAAAGTATGCATTGTGTAGTTGTTGTCTTATGTTTTTCTTTAATGCTTGTTTTCATCATTTTTTTTAAATATTTGTTTCTAATTATATCATGACACTCTTAAAGTTATGAAAATGAGCACATGCATGGGCAACAGTGTTGTTCAACACACTCATCTAAAGATACATTGTCACATGTTTTAATTTACCTGTTGCAGCCGAATTGAAAATACTTGCACAGAATTCGCAACATCTGTTTCTAAAATAATCATTATAACATTGGGAGGTGGCATTTTCGGCTTTAAACTGGGCACATGTCCTGCTGTCCCCAGCGTATACAGCTCCAACATAGTCACCAAATGTACAGGTGTCTGTGGAAAAAAATTATATTAAAAAATACAGTTCCAAAAAGGTAAGGAGCCCTTTGTTTCTGATCTGTGCATAAAAAAAACACAATAAATAATTTTATTCTTTTATTAAAAAGATTTTGAATTTAAGACGAACTCCATGCTAACAAACTCGTAGATATCATATAGCACCTACTTATAAAATATTATCTAGTATCAATGTGATTGCAATGGAAATGGTCTATGTATAAAAGAACAACAACAACAACAACAAAAATGGTTAGATTAAAACAAAATAGTAACGAACATTTTGAATATATACTGTAAAATAAGAAAGTAAAACTGGTACAACACAAAAATATAGTTGTTTGATGTAAAGGGGTCTATATAAGGAAACAAAATATGACGCACCTGGGGCAGCAGGAGCACTACTGTTATAAGTACACACCCCCTCAATGCACCACTGAAATATATATTTTTTGTGAATTAATATATACATTATCTGTTCCTTTCATAAATAAGTGCTCCTACTACATTGCAGAAGCTAACTTGGCATTATGTAATAAATAATGAGCAGAAATAGAAATTAGAAAGGCATTATAGGTGGGTATGTTATATAATAGACATGTATTACTGGAGGCTGTGGTTCTTGCAGATATGTATTAAGATTGATATGTAAGTGTTACAACTGAAAAGATCGAGTCATTATTAAATTTTTTTTTTTCCAATTTATATCAATAAAGAGGCACAGGTATACTAAAACAGCTTATTACACATCTTTAAAAGTAGGGGAAGATGCACACTACCTAGTACATATTTTACTCTCTGTTGGTGCTGCCATCTTTTGGCCTGATGTGACCTTACCTTGTGGTTGCCACATGAAGTCCCCCTGGCGGCGCCAGTACTTCCCATTGAGAAGCAGGAACCCCGGTTTGGATCATAACAGTACATAGACACACATATCTCTGCATCACTGGCTGCCCCCTGTGAAGATATAACCAGTTTATAAATACAAATTAGGATCGAAATACATACTTGTAGAGTGTATACCTGTATACTTTACTGAGTAAATGACTCATGTGGTTTATGTTTTGGGCCAAGTTATGAGTAAGACCAGTACACTTTGTAGCTGAATACACACACAAAACTGGGATTTGAAGCTTATCATATAGTTGGTTATTTTTCATAGTTAAGCTCACATTTTGGAATTGCAAGAAAAAACGATGATAAGATTAATCTCACAGTGGCTATGACATTTTTAAAGACTCATTTTTAATATCATGGAGTGCCTCTTTAAAGTTGTGAACAATCTCAGCTAAGTGAAGGTTCCATTTGAAAATAACATACCCCACAATAGTAGGACTGTGCCCCATACACTTCACGACACTGGTCATGGGGGGTCAGTCTTTGACCAGGATTGGTCCTTTGGTACACCTCCCATTCTGTGGCGTTGAAATAACTAGCCTCGTTGACCATGCAGTTGTTGCTATCACTGGAAAATAGAATAATTCCCAAATATTAATGATAATATTAATAGGAATAATATTAATGGTATTAAAATGCTTAATTAAAATCCAGAACTTGAAACACACTTTTTAACAAATTTTTTTAAATTCATACACATCAAACATATATTTGCCGATTATTTAATCACATATAGTGGTAGAATTTGTCATTATTGTTACATACCTATTTAGATCATTTATCAAATTTCGAAAGTAGTCTACGGAGCATGTTGAGAAGTTGTAAGGATTATAATGATTGGCTGATGTTGTGCTGGCTGCCACAGCCGCCATGATATACTGGTCCGCTTCTCGGCATGTGTTGCCATCTCCATCGTGATAGGCACCCAAACTTCATGTAAATAAAAGCAAATATTCAAGTTTTAGATGGACATCTTGAATTTGAAGCCATCTTGGATTATTACTATAGGGCCAATAATATAAATAAATAACATACATAAATTGTCTGCATGGCAGATATAAATAAATAGTCTGCATGGCACTTAACTGTTCTCATATAAAGGTAAATAAACAGATAAATAAAATTCCCATAAGATAAGACTGAATGAACCTCATAAGGTGTTGAGCAATTTATATCTTACTTGTGTCCAAGTTCATGTGCAGCAACACCTATGCTTTTGAAACCACCATGATCTTCATTAATGGAACAGTGCCCTCTTGTACAGATGCCACTGAGAGTGGCGACACCTGGGAATAAAACATTTATGGCTTTTAAGTAGATACAGAGAGAACAGTTGGTGTAAAATAGAAGCCATGGCAACCATTATAGAAAGGGCAGTAAGTAGTAACTGTTACAAATTTGCTTTTAAGATATTAAAAAAAATACCTTTATGAACTTTGGACTTTGGAGGCACTTTCTTTTAGTGATTAACACAATACACAGGTCTATTTATTTACATGTTGTATGTAAATACAATTACTTTGTTGTTTTCTATTGTACAATAATGTACGTTATTAAAACATATTTTGGGTATTTCCATTTATTTTTTTAAACTGAAGGATAGTTTTTATTAAAGTGAAAGGTAAGCATGCATATAGTTTAGGCCTTTTATGTATTTTATGAGTAATTATGTTTTATTTCATCTAAATGTATGTAAGCCCACAGCTTCTCAAATTCTTACCTGCTACTGACGTTTTCTTCTCGCCGGTATCTGGGTTAATTCCATTGTACAAGTCATAACTGAAACAAACAAACAAATAAATAAATAAATATCTTTAAGGATATCCTAAAGCAATTAAAAACTTATTTATAGATTAATTTTCCTGCAGTATTTCGCGATGGTCTGTAACAATTTACAGATAACAGAAAAACGCATCCAGGCCCATAGGTGGGGCCGGGGGTCTTTTTTTTTTTTTTTTTTTTTTTTTTTTTAAGAAACCTCCCCTTTTTGGTCAAGAAAATATACACACAGAATGAATCAATATTTGATTTAGGTTCTACAACTGTATGAACAAACACAGATTTCCCAGGCCCACTTTTTCACAATAAACCCCCTCCCTTCCTCCATCTTTGTAAATTAATGGCTACAGACGTGGCCCCTCACTTACTTTGTAAACAACATAGCGTGGTCGTGTGGGGGCAGGGCATCTCCCTTAGCAGCCACCCAGTCTGTGAAGTTGTTCAGCCCCAAGGAAGCGTCCACCAGATAACGTGGAGACGCTGCTTCCTTAAACGGCTCGGTGAAAAGAGAAGACGCCGCGTCCTGCAGATAGAAAGATATGAGTGGATGTTATGGATAAAAACGCCACGGATCACACGGTAAATCTTCCGTTTTTTTTTTTTTTTTTTTTTTTTTTTTTTTTTTTTTTTTTTTAAGATGAAAGTATCTTCGTATCAATTTTTAAAATCTATAATATCAATAGAACTTACTTTTTTAAAAGCATTAAAATGCTTAAAAGCATTCAAAATGACCGCCAGCTTCAATCATCAAAATATAAAGAATTCCCAAAGCCCTAAAGTAGCCTACAGCTTAAATGTTATTATGGAAAGTGTTGCATTTATTACAGTATATCCTTCAATTTTTAGTCCTGTTCCAGGTTTCTTAGTCTCGTTTTGGGTTTTAAAAATTAATTGGAAGAATAAACAAAAGCGGCAAAGAAGGGCTCATTACCAAATTAACTATCGTTCTACATAAATCGAATCAACTCATGGGGACTCTTGCTGAATGCAATCGGTTTAACAGATATTAACACACACCTCTTCCTAACGTAAGGGGTAGAATACATAAAAAAGCGGTGGTTATACGTTTACGTCGGAAACAAGAGGGGTCGTACGCATGTTAATCTTATAAAAACTGATTGCATTAAGCAAGACTTCTCATGGAGTTGGGTGGATCTACGTAGACTGAAAATTTCATTGGAAATAAGCCCTAAATTTCTAGTAGAAACCTCTGACATCTAGGGTGGACTCCGGCCAGAACCCATTTTTGTGCATATTCCTTCTCTTGGTTATCTTTTTCCATCATTGCCTTGTCTCCTCCATTCGTCTCTCTCTCTCTCTCTCTCTCTCTCTCTCTCTCTCTTACCTGTGCAACGAAGAAGCCCACGAGCCTGACGTAAATGCTAAAAGCTGGATCGACAATGTTTTCGTAGCGGACGTCAATCTGAAATAGCAAGACATGAAAAAATCGGAGTCGTCTCCTTGAGCTTTGAAACTATTTTAATGTGGAGTTTTGTGCCGGTATTTGATGATATGATTGTTAAGAGAAAAAACACGGCATCGGTGAAGAAAGTTGTCTGATTTTGTTGCCAAAATATGACAGACGGTTAACGTAAGTCTCCTCTGAGGCAGGGAAGATTTCTCAAACTCGCCAAAACTAATTCCATTTTTTAAATAAAACAATTAAAGCCAGTGAACAAGTACTGTTCACATTACTTTTGCTTTAAAATACACGACAAATTTTCTGCAGCTGTCACTTAAAAGTTTTTTTTTTTAATTTTGACCCCCCTCCAAGTGACCCTACCCCCCCCCCCCCCCAACTATAAAGCTGTACTCATGTCCTACCCCGTTTGCAATATGGGCGAAATAGTATCTGATCCTGTTGATGGAGTCTGTTTGCTTCCCTTCGTTTGTGGTGGCAGTACTTGTCTGATAGAACCTGGAGATGAAGAAAAGGACTGATGTGGAAACGAATATAGATAAGTGAATGGATACAAGGTTAATCCTCTTCGTGTATAGGTACACGTATGGGAGGAAGATTTGAAGAGATAGAGTGAAAATATATAAATAAATAAAGTGATATCTTGATTAATTGACCGATTAATCTATATATAAATAAATATATATGAATAAATAAAAAATACATACGACTGTTAAATTTTATGCTAATAAATTAAATGTTGATAACAAGTTATTATTTCAAGATTTGTGGAGTCACAGAGATGCAGACAAAACATATAATATATCCCCACAATCTCTAGGACATTCGTACCTGTTGTAAACGCTGAAGTCTATGACCATCAACAATTCCACACCCAGCCTCTGAACGGCTCGCTTAAACCGAGTTGTTTTATCTTGAGTCTTTCTTTTAATTTTCTGCGATATTTTATCACGAGCTGAATTATAACAAATATATAATTAGACCTCAATATTTTGTATATATCCCAAAGAGTACAATAAAGCTTTTTATATGCCATTATTTCTTTTAAAGTTGTCGGTTTTCGAAAGTAAGTAGATTTACGTAACCAGATAACTTATGTACTAATGTGTATCAATTTAGGCCGATTGAAATGCGCGGAAAAATACACTGAATAAATAAATAGTACAGCAACACATACATGTGGGTGAAGGGAAATACAAATGGAATTGAAAAAACAAAACTGCCGGCATCTTACATGTATCTCCAATAAATGAAGACAACGCTGTGGATTGGATCCGTCGCATCACGTGCCACGCGCTGACGTCATCATCCACACTTCGTTTTTCGCGTGCCTCCTCTTCATTTGCGGGTGAGAGCACGTACTCGTGTTTGTTCAATACAAAATGCCCTTCCTATAAATGTGACAAATATGTATTTTAAAAATATGATGTTCTGTTATTGAAAGACATTATATGACTGATATATTGTGTTGAAAGTAGGCCCTAAATGCTCGAACAGAACCAGTTACAAAAAAAAAAAAAAAAAATGTCAGAACAATGTCTCCGACATAACGATTCATATATATTATATGACGTCACGTAAAGCTGTATACATGCCATCAAAATGTATTCCACACGAATTTGCAACTATTCAAAAAACGCTCGGCTTGGTATACAAAGTGACGCCGCAGAAGATAAATTAAATATGAGGATGTACAGACGACAGATGAGGCTGCTACTGTTTGAATGAACACCGTTTGTATTCAGAATATAGAGCGTCAGCTTTTGAACACAGAATTAGATATTTCATTTTTTTTATTATTAGGCCTATTCATTTATTATGTCAGAAAAAATGCTGTTTTATAGAATTTACATTTTAATCCGTGCGCCAATGGCCCCCTGCTACTCACCAGTTTCCTCTTGATTTGTCCGTCTTTAGTAACTGCCTTGGATACAGAAAGGGACGCCATGTATTGTTTATCCTGGTAGAACGACAAGTCCTAAAAAAGACCCGACTCATTTGTATTTTATCTTCATTCTGTTCAACGATAGTGCAATACCTTGTGCACATAAAATAATTAGCATTTCCTTTTAAGTTAAACACTTTTTTACGTTTACCGCTACGGATTCTATTTTAGCACAACTTTTTATGTAAAGCTATCTATTTTAATTGCCAGCTATTTACCTTCATTTTGGGTACGCTTAACCTCTCCACGGCGCCATCTTTGATGACGTAGACAGGCACATTGACGTCAGTGACCGTGTTTTTCGTCAGATGCAACGTCACACTGTCGTTGAGGGTCACCGTTAACTCCTCTGGGTATATCTCAGCGTCTGTGGCATCTTTATCCAGTGGTTTGTCGATGGCGGGTTTTACAAAGATGAAACCTGAAAAAATTAATGAGAATACCACAGGGTCAAATGGCCGGTATCCTGGGTCGTCTGGTTGTTTCAAACGTAGAATTGATTTTACTAAATGCGACAAAATATTGACGGACGTGTTGAGAATTTCTCGTTCATAGGCTTGTCGACGTAGACTATTTTTTTAGTTGTGAAATAAAGCAAATGGGACAGTTTAGAAAGTCAACACATATTCATGAAGGAACGGTATTTTCTGGGCCTGTTAGTGGTATAATTCAAAGAGGGAATCAAGGCAAATGGAAGCAAACACAATGCTATCCTTATAAGCTGTGATCCCGCACAAAATGGTACGAAAGATTTGCTTCAATCACTCAAGCTGAGTAATAACACGACTCAAATAAATTTGAGTTTGCTACAGTAAAACCGATTACGGAGCCACAGTAAAGATGAAAAGGTTCAAGTTACTTAAAGCAGGCTTGTCAAAGCTGTCAAGTACAAACGGCTGAATTCAGGCCGGATAGAATCAGGATAAAAAGACATTTTTATTCCATGCAAACAGGAATTGACAAACATGACTTTTCTAAAATTCTGTATTTGCTTTACCATTATATGATAAATTTTGTTTCTAATCCTTTGCTCTGCAAGAAAAAAATACCAGGGTAGCAAATGAAGTATGATTTAATTAAAGAGAGGTAAGTGATATAATCTGAGGGGTGTTATTCAGTCCGTTTACTACATTTGAATGGTTCAAAAGAATCTTTCCAAAGGTGTTTTTTATGTGTGTAAATCTTTTATATACGGCTCTTGTTAAGTCTCTTGCTAAAAAACATCGCCAGATTTTTATTTGTTTGGCATTATGCTCCACCTGTAGGCCTACTCGGCGCCCAAAACATCTCGTTTCTTTTGTTGTACCACATTGCCAAGCTATACTTGTACTTCTGTATCCGAGGGGCTATATCCCACAGGTAATGAAACTTGCACTTAAACGTCTTTTTTTATAACATGTTGACGAGGTGAGAGAAATGACAGAAAATCAGGACGGGAGATAAAGGGCGTGAAAAAGGAATGTTAAGTCAATCTGGATCAGAAGAGAAAGGCTATTGGACCTGTCCACTTTATTATTATTTATTATTATTTATAACTTTTATTAGAAAAAAACTGTCTCTTCCTCTCTCTCTCTCTCTCTCTCTCTCTCTCTCGTACTCAACGACCGTCTGTGTAAGCAGATCGTAAACAGAAAGCACCTTGCTAGCCATTGTCCGTTAATGTCCTCACAAGAGTAACATGATAGTACGCATCATTTTAAGTGGCAGATTTAAGTGGCCCATCTCTCTGTTCCTTTCCATTTAAAACGTCGCCATGCGCTTGTGCGTACTGTTATTTCAGAATACGTTACGGCAATCTACACGATCCAAAATTCTATTTCTTTTTCATATTGAACTTCAAATACTGGTCTTTTTCGGGTTACTGTCATTGGAGTACCATCTCTCTCTCTCTGTTTGTGTTTGCGGGTGTGTGTGTGTGTGTGTGTGTGTGTGAGAGAAAAAAAAAAACAAAAAGAATTGAGAACATTGGTCATTTCAAAGAAATAAGTGAAAATTGCGATATTTTACATGGACTTCCTCGGCTTCATTCTACCGTTAAACCTGGCCTCTAGCGGTCTCCGCTTGCAGAAATGGGTTTTTCAAATTAATACCTCACTATTTCTGACTTTGAATGGGCACCTGTTATGCGATACATTTTTTATACATATCCATTGTATAGACAGACCTACTATTAGTTTGTTATATATACTCTTTTGAACATTCAGGTATCATGTTTCGGCCTTTGGCGGATTCCCTTTCAATGAAGAGAATAAAGATATATACCATTGTCATCTTTGTCACGATTAAGGTTTATCATTTTAAACTAGCAAAGAATGAAAAAAGAACAGCAGAATGATTATGAATTCTGTCTCGTTCCATACCGCCCTCGCACTCATAATATGATTTTACAAACCATTTTTCAAACCGTGCATAGTTGCAATCTAAATTTCAAAATATTTCAAATCAAGCAAAATAAAATATATCCGTATAAAAGGAAGAATGCTCTCTCGTTATTTTCGAATAAAAAAAAGTTTACCACTAAACCTAAAGCATGCGTGCACCTGTCCGATTGATTACGCGAACACGCAAAAAAGCGAACGCACCGTCTTTGACACAAGTCTTCGCGTCCACTTGCGTTCGCGTGCGTAGGTTTGCGTTTGTGTGTTGAATGCTAGACATTCCCTTGATCTCTATCTCTCTATCATTCTCTCTCTCTTTTTCTCTCTCTCTCCCTCTCTCAAACACGCACACACACACACACACACACACACACACACACTGACAGAAACACAGCGAGAGAAAGAGAGAGAGAGAAAAGGAGAAAGTTTACACTGGTCTTTAACATGGGCATGCCCTTAAATCATATAAGCAAACACTGTTATCTCACTTAAATGGAAGTCCACTGAAACAAGATGTGAACAAACATTGTCGCCTTGGTTAGACGCTTATTTATTAAAAAAGGGGCACCACCTTTAGACAGGATCATGACCAAAGATACCGGATTAACTGATGTGAAAGGCTCTACGTAAACCAAAGACATACATTCCACACCCTTAGATAATATAACACATCACGTTTTTTAACTAGTTTTGAACACATGAGAAGGGAAAGAGTGCTACCTCTTTATCTATCTCGAAATTGGGTTCTCAGTTTTCCAAATTCACACAATACAATTCTCCTATCAATAGATAGTACCCAGAACGCAGGCATACCATTTTAAAGTTTTTCCCCTACAAAAAGTGGAACTTTTTACCCCCTTGGGTGACCCAACCCGAGAAACGACATAGAATCTAGATCAATTGTTGATTCAAAGTGGACCTTTTCTGTTTAGCCATTTGAATGAGCAAATAAAGCATTAAGGTGAAAGGATGGAAATTCTGACTCGCCAGACTTTAAGCTAACTCCCACTGCATTGTTAAATCGAACGCTATTTGATCTGATAGGGTTTTTTTGTCATATCAATGTGCCTGACGTGTGACGAGACCGTTTGTTTAGTTCTCAACTGTGTTGCTGACGCTTCAGTGGAGTCATATGGCTTTTATTGAGATCTCACCTTCGACAACGTGACGTGTTAATTTACAAGAACGACTGATACCCAAAGCGGGAAGTCCAGTTCAGACAAGACTTGGTTTATATAGAATTTAGTGTGTTGGTTCGAGATCAGAAAGACCTAAAATAGTCCTCGCCCCAATAACCCATGAAAATGAAAAAAAAAAACAGTTCCAAAGATTAAGAGATGTTCAAACTGAGAGGGAAGACAATTCCCACGGGGTTTGATTTAATGCGTGAGTGTATGGCGGTAAGGGAAGTGGGGTGGAGGAGAAGGGAGGAGAGGGGTGGGAAGAGGGTTATTAGGGGAAGAAGGAGAGGGGGTTAGGTGAAGGAGATGGGATACGGGTTGAAGGGCAGGGGGTAAAGGGGGCGAAGGGGAGGTGGAATATATGTGACGGGACAATAATATACTCAAAGAGCAGGTTGCACAATTGGTATTATAGATTTTGTCAGTGTGTTAATAAGCAACATTAACTAGTGTGTCAAGTTTGCACGCTGAGAAGGAATGTTGCTTGTATGAATAAGACCCTGTCACGCACACGTGGGGTCAAATACGTTTCAGAGAGAGAGAGAGAGAGAGAGAGAGAGAGAGAGAGAGAGAGGTGTGTATGCGTTTGTGTGTGCCGATAATAAAAAAGGAGGGTGTGGCGAAGAAATCGAAAGAACGGAATGGAAAAGCGCTGGATAGAGAAATGGATAGAGAAAAAATGCAAGCGTCTTCTTACCTTCCTCCTCTCCATCTTTCACATCTACCGGAGTCACAATCCCCAGAAACGCAATAAATACACAAAAGGCAAAAACATTCCTATTGCCACTGCCCATACTACGTGCTATCGCCATTGTATATAAAATTTCTATATAAATACAATTGTACTAATCCTAAATGCTCATGCGACGAAGCTAGCAATGTGACTTCTCGTTGTCGCTCTATCGATTATTTTTTCTTCTATTTATGTCTTGTTATAGAGGCAGATATGCGACAACACCCTATTGCATGTAACTGGCACCTGGGTGTGATATTAAATGAAAAGCCAGTTAGTTTTTGAGCTCGCTGATAAAGTCACTGTTTTGGTGGGGATTTTTTTAAAGGTTGTCCCTGTCGTTTCCTGACTTTTGTCACTCCTTTCCTGAGAGTTACCAGTAACGTATTTCAAACTAGGAGTATTTGTTTCACCACTGTGTCTCGGGTTTCTTAGTATTGTGCCTTTGATTTTGAGCTTTTTAAAGATTGCTTATCTTATTTAATACTCCATCATTTTAGCATCAATTAGGTGGTGTCGACATGTATCTTAACTGCTTTAACCTCACACAACTGTTCCGAGGACCGGTCGGATTCTGTATGTCTGTATTATTTCAAAAGATATGGAGGTTCTCTGTTCACTTGGCCTTCTCCGTGGCATCAATATTGTTTCGTGTACCAGCACCAGATTTCCGTAAGAAATGGGACCACCCGCTGTCTCTTTTTCTTCAAAACTCCGTGCAGTCGTGCCAGTGGTGGGAATGTACTCGGTAAATGCAGCGTCTTATATTAAACCACGCTATTTTTGATGGAGTGTTTGCTCAGGTCTCTCCTCTGTATATGGTACATGTGTGCTTAACTGAAGCCGGCGAACGGTCAAATATGTTACTGAATCTTGGCGTATACATGTACCTGTCAATACATCTATTTCAACCGTGACCCTGGTGGGTAAATACTTCTGAAGCTCTCGTTACGAACACGCGCTCACACACCTTGACAGTCGCATATATGCAATAATGTATCCGTTAAACCGGTATCACGTTGTCGTAACTAAACACATGATGTTTATTTGTGTTTAACAAAGTCTGAATTAAGTGTTCCAACAATAGCTGGACCAACGCCGACTCTCCCTTCAGGTTCAGCTTAGTAAATTCCCCGGTGTTTGTATGCTGTCCTCACCTGGGCTTCTCAATGTTAATATACTCGTCGCTCACTTCACTCATATATGTCTAAATATAAATATAAATATATATACATGTCGCAAGGAACGTCGCTTCACCAGCTATTGTATTTCGTCTTTTGTTCATGCCCGGCTTATGTAAAGTACGTGCGATTGATCTGCGGGTGCGTCATCGTGACGTTGCGATTCAGCTTGTCCGTCGTCCTGCGAAATCGTGACTGAGCCACACCCATGTGTGTGCACGCTGGCTCTAGTACTGCGAACGCTGACTCTGTGTGTCAAGGTTGGACTCCAGGGTAAATAATAGGGGGCGTGTATTGAAAAAATACTGGAATCAATACAATATCGAAAACTTAAGGGAGAGGGTGAGGGAGGGAGGTTGGCGGCTTCCCGCCGATGACGGGACTGGATAATTTAGTAATAATGGTAATATTGTAGGCCTACACCAGTTTATCAGACGAAGAAGGGGGCAATAATAGGAACAGCAGGGCCTTAAATGATAAACATGAAGGACAGGGAGACGGGAACAAGGCTGTTAGATATTCTTTTATATTATAAGGTAATCACAGGAAGAGAGGATCAGCGCCGATGATTAATATGGGTACGGAGTCCCTGAACACCGGACTCGGAATTGCCAATTCTCTCACTGCAAAGAACAACATACGGCCAACATAAAAGCTATATCTTCTGTCTAATTCAGAATCAGACCTTTTTAATCATTCCGTTTGGGTTATAGAAATATATGAGGACCTTTTGCCAATAATGTTTCCCTCCCGCTCTCCCTTACAAATATTGTACAAACTGGATACAACAATAATAACAATAGGAAAGGTTTAACGTGGGGTATTCATGTTCATTGCACCTATTGTAGTGATTGAAATAATTCCGTGACAATATGGAATGCTTTAGTGTGGATGTCAACACAATTTTTTTTATGAATATGATCTCAGACAACTTTTTTGGGGAATGATGATATTTCATGGTACTGAATTTGGACATGGCGAGTATTGTATACTCAGGAACAAAATGCCACTAGTTGCATGCACATTTGATGTATTGAATCGATTGAATGTAGAATTTCGGGTCACCAGTGTCGACATAATTAAAGACGTCGACCTAGTTCCCACGGAATTTTTTATGCTAGCTTACACATCATTTTCATTTATTATTGTTTATTTCAATTACTTATCAAACGCACTTTGATCATACTTTTTTTTGTGATTCGTTTTATTAAGTTATATATATTATAATTAAATAAATTATATTTAGTTTCAAGTTTGATAAATCGTCTCATTTTCCAAAAACGTGATGGACTAGCTTTTGCAATAGCTTTTGCAATAAGTAATCTCGCGTGAGATCTCGTGAGAGCTAAGGTGGCTGGAAAGGAGGAAGATAATCTTATGTTAACATCATTGAGAACATCATCTTATGTAATAATATCGGAAAATTGCTATTTTTTACGAGGGCTGAATTGACCGAAGGACAATATATATTCCGTTCATTTCGCACAGAGAACGATTATAAACATGAAGAATATTATGCAATGATATTAAAAAAATCATTTTACAATTTTTTGTTAAATTCTTACGTGTTAAGATAAGACATGTGTTAATATATCCATTTAATTCTAATAAATAATCATGCTTTTTTCATTAATGCAATTCGATGTTCCAGATCATGTCTACAACGCACCAAACGTAGGCTTCGTAATTCTAATTAAGCTGCAACATTACAGAACAGCTGCTGCAATGTGGATGTGTTTGAGTGTGCACTTAAATATATTATTTTGCTTTTGTTTCTTAATTTTCACGGGTAACGTCCCATAATCAATAGTCAATTTTGATTTCACCATTTTAACTGTCTAATTAGCGTCTCTGAAAATAATTATAATATAGAAAGTATCTGAGGTATTTGCAGGCTCTCAGATATAAAGAATTAATGTATAATTAAGGTATTTTTTCCCCTTTTCTTAAGTCTTTGTAATTTTTTAAAAATTTTATTCAGGTCTATTTGACAAATCAATCAAGATGTTAACTTACAAATTACACAGTTTAAAAATTCTTTGCGCTTACCACGTACATGTACTAGTAGAGAATAAATAAAAAAGCAATAAATGAATAAAAAAAATAAATGAATAAATAAATAATTATCCAATCAATCTATTTGTTGTATTTTCCCCTCGATTTTACCAGATTTTCAGGAACGGAAAGGGCTTGTCAATGATTAAGAACTTCAATCAAGGAAGGGGAGCGGTTCAGCGCCTTTCACCAATCACGTACTCACTTCCTGAATCACCGCTCTTTTAATTTTGGAGGTAATATATCAATGTACTTGTACAAACGTAATGGTATACGGAATAAATGATGTTAATTTGACTAGAATGAAATAATATTGCAATTTTGTACATGGATTCAACACCACCGATATTTGATAAGTTTTTATATTAGTGCCAACATCTGGTTATAATTTTTTACGCTTATTTAAAACGGTAAAATTTTAAACTTAGTATTTGGACTATCTTGCAAAACATCACCCCATCACCGCTGCATGCCAAGTATAAATGAGGTCGTACTGTTTGAAGGTCAAAACATTTGATCTTCCCATTCAATGAAATGGCTTCGGTGTTGAAAAACGTAGCTAGGATATGCACGAGGACAGTTAGCGAGCAGTTAAAACCAGGAATCGTTTCAGCTTCAAGATGTTTTCATCTGTATTCCCCAGAACCTTTTCATCCGATTCCAGATAAAACTCCCAAATGGATGTCGGCGGAAGAAGCCGTAGCAGTTGTAAGATCGGGTAAGTGTCGCTAACATGTGTCATTGATAAGTGTCATTGGCATGTCAGAGTGCTTGTTCGTAATGTGTGGTTTATGTATTGGATTTGTACTGCGATGCTATATCCAATTATGGTTATAGCAGCGCAATTTTCTCGTATTAATTTAATGCTTAACCTTTACCAATATCTTATTTTACTCTTTTGAGTTTTTGTCATTAACTGTGTTGAAATTCTGTCTTCACCGGTCATTGGGGTACCGGTTTTCTTTTAACTTTATTAGAAATACTCAGTAAGTTATAAAACATCTTCTACTGCTCAATTAAAATGTTGATTTCTTCTTTGAATATCACTTCAATATATACAGTTAAAGGGCCTTGTGAAAATCAAGGATTTAAAATCAATTCTTTGATCCTTTAGATATTTGTTTGATTAAGTTCATAATAAAAAAATGTTAATATCCAGCATGTAATTTGGTGAAATATGAGAGAAGGTTTAGAGAAAATGAAAGCTAAAAATAAAAATGAAAACTGAAGCTTGCGTTCATTCGTTCGAACTCCAAACGACAGATCTGACTTGAATACAGTACAACCAGAAGCTAAAAAAATTACTCATTTGGACTACAGATTAAGGCTGTTCAGAGCCAAATGTATAGACAATGATTGAATTCAATGGACAATTAGAATTCGAGGCAACTTTCTCAGGTACATTGCTGATCTCCACTACAGTCTGGTTTTCTGGCGAGGTCAGCTGGACTATTTCCAGTTCCAGTTTCACTTTTTTTTTTTGAGCACACCTTGATTGGAGCTAGATGTACTGTTAAAGACAGAATTAACGGACAAGATACCTGTATGTGGCCAGAATCTGTTTCGTTTCTGCATATTCCCTAACATTTGAAGGGAAAGGTCATATGTCCATGGAGCAGTATTCACTGAGTTGGCAAATCTGTATCAGTACAACTGATATTTCCTCTCAGCCCTTAAAATCAATATTGGTATGGTTATAACAGAAGAAACTGCCCACGTCCTGATTCAGTTTTCAAAATAGGAGTGTGCATATTATGAATATAATCCCCCACTATTGTACAGGGCCTTGTATATGGCTTATGTTTAGGGCTGGACCATTTTATTTTTAGTAGGTGACCTTTTATCAATCAATGTAGACTGTTTCAGTTGATCTACATGTAGATCAAAGTTTGATGCAAATTGGACCCTTTCCAAACCAGTAATATGGTCCATTTGGACCACCTAAAACCCTTGACCTATATGCTGTTTTTTTTGTTTTTTGTTTTTTTTTTTGGGGGGGGGGGTCTTAGGTCAGTTTTTCCTGCTATTTGGTTAGGGAAGATACACTTTGTATGAATCTAATAATAAATCAACTCGTGTTTTAAAAAACTTCCATACAGCATATGTAATTATTTTTATGTTTAAATTATACAGACGGATTGTTTTTCTCATGTGGAAAATGTTAAATTTCAGGTATGAAGGTATTTGTCCATGGAGGGGCCGCTACGCCCATCCCCCTGGTGGATGCTCTGGCTCAGCATGGTAAAGATGCTGACTTAACTGGTATAGAAGTCATGCATATACACACAGAGGGACCAGCTACTTATGTGAAACCAGAATATGAAGGTCAGGAAAAATGCATTTTATTTTCAGTTTTGTTTTTTCTTGGTGTTTTTCCACCTTAAGCAGCCCCCAGACCCCCCAGTCATAATTAATTACGACCAAATCACTATTCTTTTCTATCTCATCTTTTATAACCCCAAATCCTGTCTGTGTTTTAGGTAATAAGGTTTTTTTAGTGAATGAAGAGTTTTTTAGATGGCTAAGGCTATGACTAAGGCTCTATTCCCAGAGCTTTTAGATCGATCTAAAGTAGATCGATCTAATCTCTGGAAATGGGGTGTAATTATGCACAAGAGGTATTAATAAATAATTTTTATAAAATTTGAGCAAGAAATCATGTGGTAATTGTGCAGAGAGAAAGAGAGAGAGAGGGCTTAGCATGTCTCTTTACCTGTGAGACTTGGTCTTTTCATATATGTCTAAGAAATATTGCATGTCTAAGTTCATTTTCATAATTTTAATGTCTGTCTGTCGTGCTTTCTCACTGAAAGGTGATAAAGCTAATATGAAATCATTACTTCCTGGTGGGATCAATATCTGAAGAAAGTGTTGCATACCAGACCAGTCTGATGTGGCAGATTCTAGAAAAATATTTGCCATGATCTGACTCTGTCAGGGCTTTTCCCAGGACTGGGGCTACAGGCCGTCCAAAGTTATCACCTGTTATGTCCTACACAATTTCCAGGAGTCCAAGCCATCATTTTTTCAAAATAACTCATGATCTTTCCAGCCTTCTTTGAAAATATTGGCTGTCTGGGGATGCCAGCGGCTGTCCAAATGATGGCTGGAGGGTTCACTGGGAAAATCCTTGGGTTCTGTGTACTTGGGATTGGGTGGACACTCACCTCTTTCTAGAACTCAGGTTGGGTTTGTGTGACTGAAACAGAATCATTTGAAAATGGTGTGTGTGTGTGGGGGGGGGGGGGAGTTTTTATACAATTTATTACAGAAAACTGCTGAAATAATTGGATTTTTTAAGTTATTTGAAAAAAGATCTTCAGTGGATTGTTCAGTCTGAAAATGATTTTTTGTTGATTAATATACAGTATTAATTGGCTTGTAAGAAATATAAAATTCAAAGAGAGAGAGAGAGAGACAGAGAGGGTTCAATATGCACAGTATTTAGTATTTTACTATGTAGTGTTGCAGCTCTAGAATGCATGTTATCTAACATTTGCCCTTTATATTACCACAACATTCAGTTTGATTAATGAACATCAGTAGTAGCTTTAAGGATATGGGCCAACTTTACCTATCCACAATTAGTTTGCAAAGATTTATTAACCAAAGATTTGTTCAGTGGTGAGTGTCTATACTGGTTTGCATTGACATAAAGAATTAAATGAGGAAATAATTAGTGGGCATTATCTTATGTCCCCATTATGTTGACTTGGGTGAAATTTTGGTGGAAACAAAATTCTCAGCTTTATTAAAAAAATCACCACCCTTTTTTTTAAAAGCATCAGCTTGGTGTATACTCTTTGACATAAAATAACAATAATATGTATGTAGCCTTCCAGGCTCTGTATATTTCTCCTTTTGAGTCATTTTGGCAAATGTTCTAATTGTTATGTGAGCAAACGCTTTTCTCAATTGCACATGAAGGCACATGTGATAATCCATTAACCTTTTCTGACTGAGTTAACATAAATGCCATTATTATGCACAGTATTCATGAAGTAAGTTACAAGAGGGATTGATTTCATCCATTGGTATGAAGTACCCAGAGTTTTAATTAACACATATATGTGAAAATTGTTGTTTATGTATCTTGTTATTTAACCTGTATGTCCTGATAGATTATTATTTTCCATATTAAATCGTTTTTTCTTTCTACTATTATGTAATCAAACAGTAGCATAAGCAGCATAGACAGCCAACAGCTATTACATGTGACATTATGAGCAGTGCTGAATACATTATTTTATAATTATTATAGGTATATTCAGATGCAACTCATTTTTCATTGGTGCCAACTGTCGAGAGGCAATCAATTCTGGACGAGCAGACTTTGTCCCCATTTTCCTGAGTGAGATTCCTCTGCTATTCCGCCGCAATTTAATCACACCAGATGTCGCCCTGATCTCTGTCAGCTCACCTGATCAGCACGGTTTCTGTACGCTGGGTCCCAGTGTGGATTGTTCAAGAGCTGCCATTCAGAATGCCAGGTATATTGTAGGTAAGTCCCAGGGGATGCAGGGGGACTAGGGGTTTGTGAAAGGAGGGCATAGTTATACGCTTAATCTTTGCCACCTTAATTTTTTTCCGTTTATTAATAGTAAAAAACCTTTTTTAAAATCAAAAACAAGAATATGAGCTCTTAAGGTTTTTCAGAACAGAATTTTTGACTTGAAAGTGTTTTTGTTTGAAATAAGGTCCAACATAATTTGAAAATGTCGATTTTCTTTCTTAGGTCTAGTGAACCCCAACATGCCACGCACATTCGGTGATGGGATGGTCCATCTGTCCCACTTTGATGCTGTCGTCCAAGGAGATCTTCCTCTGCCGCAGATGAAACATGGTGTCCCTACTGAAGTAGAAAAACAAATTGGTCGCATCATCGCTACCAACTTGATCCAAGATGGGGCCACTCTGCAAATGGGTAAGATTGGGTTACATGAAGATGTCTTGTGTTGAGATTGCTTCATTGCAGTAGTTGAGAACTCTTAGACATTGTCTTGAGATTTTTACATTCAATTTGTGTTAGTTGAGACTGATGCAGATTTGTGATATTTCACATGTGCTAGGTTGATATTTTAAATTTTGTTAGGGTGTTTGGTTATGTGATAGTTGAGATGTTGGTGGTTACTTGTTAAGACTTGGATTTGCATAGAAGCTTCATCATATGCAACAAAATGTGTTAACTAGCTATAATATAGGTTTATACCTACCATTTGGTAATTTTAGTATTGATTTTATATGCAGCATTTATTCTAAATGTTGTGTTAAATGATAAGAAAAGATGACACAAATCTTTTATACTGGATAAAGGATATAGAATTCCATGTATACATCTCTTTTGTTTTCCTATTCTCTACTGTAAATCAAATGTAGTATTTTTATTTTTGGTTTGGGTATACTTGTATGATAATTTTGTTTACTCTACCTATTGTTTTGGTTTTTGTGGTTTTGGTCTTTTTCTCCTTTTTCTTAATACTTACACTCTTCCAAAGGGTATCATCTTCATTGTAAGTTAATAATCCATTTGTATTTAAATATCACTTGGTGTTGTTTCATTCAAATATATTTCTGTATTAATGAATCAGTGTAAAAGCATGTTCAGTATACTTTTCAATTATTTCTTTTTTAAACCCCTAGTTTCTTGGTGTATTACTAGTAGACAGTTTTATTCTAAAAAGCTGTGTATGATAATTTTGTCAGCCTTTATGAATCATTGAAACAGTGGTGAAAATGTTTTAATGGTGGAAAAGATCTCAGAAATTCTGGGTTTGTTGTTATGTGGCTTTTAAACTTGTCTGACATATTCATGTTTGTTATCGTAGACACCAGGCTCGTAGGAAGAAGGATTTAGGGTTTGGGGGATCTCAAAGGAGGGCGGAAGAGATGGAAAAAATAAACTATTGGTCACGAAAAGTTAAATTTTTAATCAAAATTAATCTGGGTTTTAGTGGGAAATCACCTTAGGTCCACTTTTTCAGAAATGACCTCTCCCCAAGAAGATGCCCCCCTCTTTTTTTTTTTTTTGTTTTTTGTTTTTTAAATCTCTAACTACAGGTCTGGATACTGTCAGTCCAAGATAGTTGCATGAGTGTGATGGCGTACAGTGCATGGGCGTCCGCAGAAAATTTTCCAGGGTGGGGGGTGGGGGGGGGGGGCAAAGTCATTGAAGGGGGAGATAATGATTGGCTGGGTACCCGCAATTAACGTGGCTGCCAAAATTCCAGGGTGTCAAGAGACCCCATTGACCCCCTCTGCTGAAGCCCATGGTGCAGTGTAATTTTATGTCTCTGTGCAGAGCACTTCGTCACTTTAACTCCTTTTGTGTCCTTCCCTAATTTTTTAATCCACTGGCTGTTTGTGAGCAAAAGCAAAAATTTTGTACGCGGTTAATCAATGGGGATTGTTCTTAAGCAATTACATTTTTGTAAATAACTGAAGTGATTAGTATATTTTTATAATTCTTGCATTTGGGGTTTTTTTTTTGAGAGTGAGATGATGCCTTTTGAGAATGTAGTGTCTTTTGATTTCTTGATTTTCCTATTGTTTTTTCTTTTTTTTTTTTTTTTTTTT